GCCCAAAGCTCTAGTGATTATTACAAAAAAGAGAAATTTAAACATTTCAAAATGAGAAACGAAAACAAATTTATTGCTTTCGTCAGATCCCCGTGGGATGCAAAGTATTTTGTATTATTTTTATCTGATAACAAAAAATTCTCATTCAGTTCGAAAAAAACATGAATGTATTGTGTATAAATGTATCCCGATTATCCGGAACAAAAATATCATAATAAATGTTAGATACTCACAAAATCGTAAAATCCCGACCTCTAATCAGGAGCATCCTCTCACGAATTATCTAATTAATTAAATTAAATAATTTAAATCTACCCAATACAATAATTGGTCTTATTCCATTATATGACAGTGCCTCGCCTACTAATATTTAATTAAAATACGATTAAAGTATACGGGGGAGGGGGTATACAGTCCGTTGCTGTCAACCCCATTGGATCCGCCAGTGACTCCAATAATTATTGCAATGATAATTATTTATTTAGAGTCGTTTGGTTTATTATTATTTTCTCCTATTAACACAGGTCAAGTATTGGCGGTTTTTTCGCTTATTGAAACCGTGATCCCCGCCGTATTCAGACCGTTGTACACTGTGATATATCAAAAAACGTTGTACTCGTTACCCGGCGCGTTTTACATATTCGGTGGCATACTAAACATACCGGGAGTCATCATTTTTCTGTGAGTATAATATCGTCTCGTAGTTTCACTATAGGTACACGATACGATAATATTTAACATCGATATATTTGTGTGCCATCATTAATATCCATTCAAGCAACTATATAATCGTCATTACATTATACCGAGTGATTCTTTTATCGTTGAAAACTCATTATTTCAAAAAGTATTGGTTTTTTTTCAAAATTCTTATTTGTTTTTACAATTTGGGAAATAAACAGCACTGAAATGTTAGATTTCCATTTTTTTTTTTTCTTCACCCTTAATTTTGGAGGTGAAACGACTACCTATTTTGGTTTTTTAAACGACAACCTCTATCCGAAATGTCATAAATAAACGTAGTTTTAGTTTAAATATATTTTGCAATCGAAATTGCTGATTTCCATAAACCCGTTGACGAGATATTTCATCATTACGTTTGGGCATGGAAGAGTAGTGAAAATTATTAAAATGCCACGCACTGTGCTGCCATATAAATGATGATCGTCTACTCTTCCCCGACCCAAATTTATAAGTGAAATATCTCATAAACAGGCGACGGAAATAAAAAAAATGTAAACACCAAAATGTATTTACTCTAATATTCCATCTATGAGTGTAATTTTTAATATAAGTTACCGTTTAAAAATCATAATTAGGTGATTTTTTTTCACCCTCACGGGAGGACAAAAACAGAAATGTAACATTTTAGAATTACTAGTTTCTTAAATTGTCAACAAAAAAAAAAAAAAAATCACCTAATATATACACATATAGACAGATAATATACATCCATATAATAACTAGATTGTTGGCTGATTATAATTCGAAAAGTTTTGAATCCACTATTCGAGGACGGCCAGCCTTATCAACGACTATTATAATATAATAACTGCATTGTTTTTTTTTCAATCCGCAGCTCTCCTTTTTCATTATTTACGGTAACTCGCCATCAGTTTAAGTATTGTATAGCTTCCAGTTCCTGTTTCTTTCCTAATTTTCCCAAACTTTAACTTCAGTTTTTTCGGGGTATAAAATAACTATGTTGTAATATTAGTTAAATTATCATAGTTTCTAAAAAAGATAACGGTTGTTCTTGGCTTAAAAAAAGTATACAAAGTATTATATCAATTGACTATTTCGTATATTATTTATTCTATGTTTAGTGTATTGTATAATGTACAGGGTGATTTTTTTTTTTTTTTGTGATAAAAAACCTGTAGCAATTATCTATAAATATACATGACAATTTCGAGTAAATTTTATTTTGATTTTTATTTTTCAGGTCATAGACTTGTTAAATATTATCATAACTATATTTACAATATTTTTGAACTTTATTATATTCGGTACCTACGAAATAATTTTTTAAATATTGTAAAAAAACGACGCTTTATTGTTGTTCAGAAAAAAAAATCAAAATCAAATTTACCCTAAATCTCTGTAAAAAAAATCGTTACAGGATAGTGATAAATTAATCACTCTGTATTATAAAGTCATAAAAAACAATACAATTGTACAATAGTGTATATACCTGCATAGGTATATAATACTAAAGATCATACTACATTTAATTTTTTTTTTTTTTTTTTGTAGATTTGTAGCATAATACCTAATTATTCATATTTAGTACCTAATAATAATATTATTATTATTATACTATAAATAATATTTAATTTGTAGCGTAGATTTATCATTTAAACAATCATCCCATTAAAAAAAATTAAATACAGTTTCATTCATAAATCATAATCTCATCATATCGCATTTAAATAGGTAATAAATGCAATTATATTAAATTCATTTTTGCATATCTCATTATTTTTACGTTTAAAAAAAATATATAACACAAAAATTTCTTTTTTAAGATTCTGAGCGAAGCGAGGAATATATTTTATTTTTCCTTTTATAGATTTGTCTCAAACGTTTAGCATGTATACGGAGCCAAAAAAGTTGTATCCGCATAAAAAACCAAAAAATAAAAATTTCTAAAAGATCTTAAAACGATTTAAAACAAAAAAAATTGCTACATTGCACTAATTTTTTTTTTTAATCATTGAGTAGAACTTATAATGTACCTCGTGTTAGATTTTCAAGTATCTCTGTTCGATTAAAAAATTGTATTCACATAGTACTTACCGAATACAAACTAGGTACGTAAAAATAAAATAGAAAATGTATAATGCTATAAATAACTTTGGAGCTATTGTTTATAGCTCCAAAATATTGTCAGAATATTTTGAAAATTTATTAAATTTATTAAAAGTTTTTTGTCAAAATGTCATGTGTCTACGAAGGGATTTTTAACAGGATGACAACAAAAAAATAAAAATAAAATTGAAAATAATGAAACCTCCCGCTACGCTCAGAATCTGAAAACACGCATCATAGTAATACCAATTTATCCCTCGCTAGTCACTACTCACTACGCTTAGAATTTAAAACAAATCTTAGTCAAAACAATAAATTTCAAGCTTCACACAGAATCTATAAAATTCCAACATTTCAAATAATTATAAATAAGTTAAACAAACTGTAATATTTCGAAAAATATTACACTGTGTCTAGAAAATTCTAATATACTCGGTAAATATTTGAGCATTTACTCAGATCTCTACAATTATTTTTTATTGAATTACAAAACGAAAATCCGAAATCCCCGAAGTCGATGATTGATGCAAGTAGTTCTGGTCGAAAACGTATTTACGAAGAATAAAATGAAAAAAAAAAAAAGGAAAAGAAAAAACGCACACATCATTGTAATACTGAATTAGTGGGCACACCCCACTCTGATCAGAATTTGAAGATAAATTTACAAGTTTAGACGGGTATTTGCAGTTGGTTGAAAAACGAATGTGTTATTTAAATGTGTCATATGACTAATATTTATGATATCAATAGCATAACAGAATTGATCAAATAAATATTTCTTATATTGGTTTTATAATATTCAGATGGATGTATTACAATGTCCACAAAAAGGAGAATAAAGTCGGACCGGCCAATTGCGAAACGCCTAAGTTACAAAACTGATTTACTATATATTATGCCTATCGTCACTCAGATACCTACCCAGAAGAATTGTATTACTTCCCACTTTGCGTACACACATATATTTTTTTTTTCCATATCATATTCTTAATAATAAACGGTTTGTGATATTTTTTTTTTTCGTTATAACATTATTCTAATTAATTTGGTACACAGGTGGTATGCAAATGGTTTTATTAACTTAAAAATAGGTGTGAAGTATTATACTATAATAGTGTATATAAATGTATTGTATATTATAATATAATTATCATCACAAAATGCATGTCCGTTTCTATGAATAATTTGGTTTGGTTGGTTTTCTTGTTCGTTTGTTACGTACATTGTTGTAATATACTTTAAATATTATTATTATTGGCCAGTGGTGATTGTCGCTAATATTGCTCGTATAAAACAAAACCGTAATAATAATGCACATAGGTACCCCTAGGTATCTAATATCGTACAATGTGTATTAATATATTTGACTTTTCCGCAGACTCATGTACAAAAATCACAAACGGGCCAAAAAGTGCGAATTCGGTCACGATGAGAAACAAGCGTTGAACTCAAAACCGACGTGAGTTTTGACAATCACCTACCTACCTATATTTTGTTAACGCGCATCAACATCCCGTCCGAATTATCGTTCGACATCGTCGTAAACATATTATATTATTATACTTGGATAATTTTAAAAAAGAAAATCGGATTTAAGCAAATTTTCCCTAATCATCTGTTTTTACTTATACATATAGACCTACTATTTATTTTGTTAATAATCGTTTGCGTTTATGTAAAATATACATTTTAATATATATGTAGATGTTTGTTACTTAATTTTTTTTCAGTCGTTTTTAATGTTAATAATTATAGGTCACAATTGTGGCGCGCGCCCGAAATAGGTTAGGTATTATTCGAATTTGTTATTTAGTTTAAATTTTTTTTTTTTTTTTTTTTTATTAAATATATGTGTATTTTTAATTTAATTTTATTTATTTCGGTATTTATTAATGTATAAAATGTACCTACCTGCCAATATAATAATTATATATTTATATATATTTAAATAAAATCGATTAAAAATCGAATGCAAACTAAAGTGCCATTATTTAAGTTAAACCGTGATGGTGGCTTTACATTGGATTATTCATTTTTAAATATCTGTTGTCTTCGAGTAAAGTAAGTAAATATAACTTTTACCTCTGCGTGTTTTATAATGTTTTGTATAATACGTAATTAATCACGTTCGGAAATTGGACTACACAATTTTCATAATTAATAATATTCATAATTTGCATAGTTAATATTTTAAACGTTTTAGTGTATACTTATACAGACATATGTATGTATATATATATATATATTCCAGTTAAATCCCGAAATTCGTCAAAACTAGTTTTCAAAAATCCCTTCGGTCAATTCTAGTTTCGACTAGTTCAAACTAGAATTCACTAAGACTTTCACCGATAAAACTAGATTTAACTTATTTTTGTTTAGTCGGAACTAGTCGTGTCTGAAATATATTGGCGAAAACTAGAATTAACTAGTGAAAATCCGTAAGTTTTATTTGTATAGTTTAAACTAGTTGCGCGAGACAAACGCACACGTAAGTACAACGACTACAACGAAAACAAACGAACTGGCAAAACCGAAAACACAGGGACAAACAAAAGCTGAATTATTATCTATTAGGTATAATCGGTCGGAGTTATCATGTCTAAAAGTGATTTGATGGACGACTGGGCAAAGTTATCTTAATCGATTTGATAGCCGGCCAGTCGAATTTATGGAGCAATATTTATAGAGATCGCGTGCAATTGCGTGCGTTTTATATAGTGCAGGTTAGAATACATGCTTTTCAATAAAAACTAGTTTTGATTGACTTATTTAAATCTGTTATCATTTCTGGTTTTAACTAGTCAAAACTAGAATTGACTAAAAGGATTTGTGGAAACTGATTTTCACTAGTTAAAACTACTTTTGACGGATTTCGGATTTTAACCTTAACATATATATATATTATAGACTCTAGTATGTTTTGTGATCAGTAATTACTCAATAAAATAATCTATTATACGAACGAATGGTGCAAATATTTGCGTCAATGTATTCTCGTTTTTCTTATTATATACAATTTTACTTGAATATAAAATATTGTTGTTTTTTTTTTTTTTTTTAATTATTCATTAATTTTTGTTTCTGTATGTGTTTTTTTTATTATTATTATTATTATTATTGTTTTTCTACAGAAAACATCATACTATTACGATTAATGTTAAATTTTAATATTTTAACTATACGTTAAAACAAAAAAAATAAAACAATGTAAAGGTTGTGTTTTTCTTTTACTATTTTCGAATATAAATAATCATAATGCTGGTGGTAAAATTTGAGTAGCTTTCAGCCGTTTTCACTTGTCCACTAACATTTTAATTTGCGGCCAAAGGTTTAGCTCATTTGTAAGACCAAGACATTTTTAACTAAGAATTTATAATTTGTAAATCATCTCTTTTTGACTGGTCACTACAAATTTAGGAATTTAGCAGGAAATATAAATTAAAATTAAATAACAGTATCACTTTTACTTTTATATGTTAATAGTAGGTAACAAAACATAATATTATACTCTAGATAGCTTTGTAAAATATTAATATTTATAATACGTATTAACAGGTATAATGAACCAATTTTTATTGACATAAATAACAATAATAATTTTATAATTGACCCTAAATTGTAAAGACTAATCCGTTAAATTTGTAGGAGTCACTTTTTTCGCAACTATCACTTTGTTTTGCATGTCGTTATACACCTGCTTTATTCTACAACATTTTTGCGACAGACAGCGTAATAGTGGCCAATAGTTTTACCAAGGAATTTACTTGGCATACTATACGTATATAATGGGAGACCTTAAAGTTAGTGTTTTTTTACAAATTTAATACGACGGGTATATCCATAATTGAAGCACTTGTTAAGTCGCAATCAATAAATATTTGCCTTCCGATATCTATCTTCCCAATTACCCACCTACAACAGTGGTCGTCCCCAATATCAGCTCTTTTTTTAATTTGATTATTTCTACTGATTGATTATCTTCGATATTTTTTTCGTGTAGTCTTTCATTATTATAAAATATAACTTCTTATACAAATTTCAGTATCAGCTAGCTTGAACACCATATAATACATCTAAATAACTGTAAATATTTTGATATGTATAATGAATAAAATTGAGAATTAAACTTAGAACGCATGAAGGTTTACACGTATTAGTTGTACGACGAACACTACATGCATTTCTGCTCAAATTGGAGGTGGAAATAAAAAATTATTTTTAATATAATTTTCAACTGAGTAGTCCGTAAATTTTCTAAGTTTTTCATTAATTGGTAGTATCTTAATTAGTTTGAAAGAAAAGCAATCGCCGATTGGTTTCGGATCTGAAAATGGTAATCATAATATATGTCATACATAGAAGTAAAATATTCGCCTATTTCAGATGTTTGTTCATGCTCTGTAGAAAAACCTAATTTTTGTATTGTTCTATACCACGATTGCTCTAGGTGAAACCAACAGCTACGAATTTCGCTGAACGGCTAAACCTCAGTTATTGCATTATGTATATCAATTTCAAAATCAACATAAGTTATTTTTATTTTAAATTGATTATTATAATCTGAAAAATAATTATTGATAATTTTAAAAATATTTGTTCATGATTCTTGATTTTTAACTTTTAGTAAAGTAAAACTATAGGTATACTAATGCATACGACAAACTGCGATTACTGTAATGTACGATATCAGACAGAATTCATTTTAAGCACTCAATAATTTAATATAGACATATCTAATATAGTTAAAAGGTAACCGTTGAACGCATAACGATTAAATAATTTCTAGCAGCAATTCATCACCGTAATGTTGAATATTGAAAATATTAATTTCACATACTCTTTCTACTTTCAAAAATATTATTGGGAGCCAATTCAATTGTCACCATTATTATGCTCTTCTATGTTTTGCACTCGGGGCATAAGAACCGTTTGCCCCTCCTCTTTTTACGGGCCTATATTGGTTACTATATGTCTATATCATAATTATTATTATTATTGTTATTAGTGTTGTACAAATTTATGTTGTAATATGTCCTTACTTTTAAAAGATAATGGAAAATTGTTGTGTAAATATCGTATACTTCTAAAATCATTTTTGATTTTTACATTTCTAATATCGTCGGACGTTTCCTCTACAAATGATTCCATAGATTTGGCGTATCATTTGAATACTTACTTCTGAATGTTTTAAACAGTCTTCATTACAGCTGACTCAGCATGTTGGAATATTGAGGTAAATGGGAACAGCTGAGTGTCAGCTTGCATACAAAGGTCACCAAACCATTTGTCTTTAGTACAACGAACTCCAGGTAGTGTTTCGTACAATTATTTACCTATCGATTATTTTTTTAACTATTATTTTTAATGTTTTATTAATAAACAAAAATATTTTAATAATATTTTGGAAAAATAACGTAGTAAAAACTATTCAACTATTCGAATAAAAACTAATCGAAAACTTTTTCGATATATTTGATAGTTTTTCCGAAATTTATAAATATCCGATCATTGTAAAAATTATTTCAATGAAATATTCGATAATTTATCGAAACTATCGATAGTATAAAGTTTTTACTATCTATAGTACCTATCACTAAATGTTATTATTTAAGTACCAAAAACGCTATAAAACGCCGTAAAATCAACCGTATAGGCAACTAAAAATTACTCAAATATCGATCTTTCACAAAATTATTAAAACAATCTAATGGTTAAATTATTGAATTATTGAAAATAACAAATAAAATCATCTCTTGTGCCACGTAATAGGGTAGGTCATAATTTAAAACCGCTACAATATTAATCGAGTTATAGCAAATTTGAAGTTTCTCAAATTCGCTATATTTTTAAAATATTATTTTTTAAAAGTTTTCTAGGATACTTATTGTACATCGGTAGGTCAATAATATAGATAGAAAGTCGGAGAAGGTAGAAAATATAGATAATGCTATGTCTAGCGAAAGCGGCACCGGTAGAGTAAACTAGAAAATTTACCACGATGAGCACAAAAAAAAAAAATTAAAACCCGTCGTTTACGTATATTGTAAAAATATTCAAATACAGAATTTTAACAATTTTCAATGGTGCCCTTGTATCATAGCGCCTGTTGCATCGGCATCTCTCGCACCCCTTTGATAAATTAAATTATTTAATATGATATAGAATAATTTATTTTATATCTGTACAACTGTACGTAACGATACGACATCGTTGCTGACGAAATATAGTTAAGCAATTTCTCTATGCTCTTATTTGGTTTGAAAAAATTACAATAATTAAAAGGCGGCAAATGTTCCTCTACTTGTAGGCTAGTTTAATTCATTGCTGGTATTATTACCAAAACATGTCAAATATTTTAAAATTGTACACTAGATAATTCTGAGCGAGAACTGTATTTATTCTATTATTTTTTTCTATGAACAACTTTTTTACGAGATATAGTGCTGCGATTTTCAACCAATTTTTCTGCAAGGAAATTTGACTAGGCTGATACATTAGTGAGGTCATTTTTTTGATTTTCCTTGGGATTTTTATAATAAATATAAAAAAAAAACCCGGAAAAAGTATGTCCGTATTTTTTTCTAGTTATACGCATTATGATGTGTCATAAAAATGGATAAATGAGGAACGCCGTATGAACCATGGCTGGCTTCATTTTTTTTAATGTGTCAAAAAGGAACGACTCAAAAATTCTGAATCCGTGCTTACAAATACGTACAAACTAGTTAAAACATTATGACGCGGTTGGAAAATATATTTTAATATTTGATTTTGAATGCAACACAACGTGATTATTAGTTGTCTAGTGACGATAAATACGATATTTCTTTACTTTAGACGAACTAAAACATATGCCAAATACCTCGGTCGTTTAGGGTTGCCAACTTTCAAATTGTATGATGATTAGCGGGCTATTGTATATGGTATCCCCTATCTAAACCATACCTAAAACTGATAGTTGCATTGTATCATTTCAATCATGACCTACATTGAATCATGTTTAGTTTCTTTAACCAACTTTTTTTTAAAAAACATTACATTTTTTAATGTTTAAGCAATTGTTTCGGAAGATTTTAAGTAGATTTAATTTTTGTTTCTTTTTTTTTTGTCAATCATTATGGAATTATTAACGTTTATTTTAATATTATTTTTACATTTTTACCTCTACTCTTGATACCTTAAATTAGAATTGACTTTGATTTTTAAACGACAAACTATTCATCACAGAAGTGTTAACGGTTTCAGATTTAGACTGGAGATGTAGGGAAGGATAATAATTCATAGATGGTAAAACCAATATTGGTAGTTGATATAATATGTATATTAACATTTTTAGAAATATAATATTTTCTTTTCGGATATGATTTGAAAAGGGGACAGGTTACTGTGTGAGTGTCAAAATGTTATACGCATTTATGGTGTACGGAATAAGGGTAACATTTTGAAAATATTATAAATATATAATTTATATTATTTATATTATTTAAATTAGAAATATAAATATAAGACTATTTAACGTTTTTTTATACGATTAAAAACCATAAATCATTAATTTTACTCAATATTTTCGTAGGTAAATTCTGGATAAAAAAATTATTTTGTAAGAGAGATAGGAAATTAATGACTTTTGTATTTTTTTAATCTTAAGCAATACAATTATAACTGACACTGCGTTTCATGTTGAGTATATTCAAAATACAGTATACAGATTTTGTATAGTGTATACCAGGTGATCCATTTAAGTGGGTACACTCATTATCTCAGAAAGCATTAACTAATTTCGGAATTTGTTTTCCGGAACATTTAAGAAACAAGCAGCTCTACAGTTATATATTTATGTTGCTTTTTGTCACTATTATTTTTGGGAAAAACATTACCTACTTTCGATTTTCAAATAGCAACCTATATTAAAAATTCCATAAATTGATGGAGTATTAGTTGAAGTAAATTTGAGTGTTAAAATTATTGATTTCTGTCAAACCGTTGACGAGATATTCCACTTTTAAGTTTAGGTCGGAGGAGTGTAATGGAGTGTCATTTGTATGGCGGTACGGCACGCGGTGTTAATAATGTTAATAGTGACTTTACTAAACTTGTGGAATATCTCGTCAACGGCTTGACAGAAATCAAATATTTTTACACTCAAATTTACTTCAACTAATACTCCATCAATTTATGAAATTTTTAATATAGGATGCTATTTTAAAATCAAAAGTAGGTATAGTGGTTTTTAAATAAAAGTGACATAAAGACATAAAATAACATAAATATAAAATTGTAGAGCAGCTTGTTTCTTAATTTTTCTAGAAAAAAATTCTGGAAAAAGTTAATACTTTCCGATATAATGAGTGAACCCACTTAAATGGATTACCAGGTATATTGTAACATTCGTCTGTGTAACGAAACAGCTTTAGTTTCCATTCGAATGTCATTACACGGGTATTTTTTTTAAATATTACTTATCTAAAATCTACCAATCCAAACGTGGGCTGTCAACAAATTTGACGGTGAAATCTTCGTGCGGATTTTCGAGTTCCACCATCACCACAGTATTTAGCCCCGGAACCAAGTACGGAGCTGGTACGTATAGGGTAATCTGCGGACCAACTGCCGGCCAATATCTTCCGATGTTTATTCCGTTAATAAACGCAACACCCTAAAAAAAAAAAAAAAGCTAATACTGATAATCCTGAGCCACTGCTGTAGATGGGAAGTTGTGGAGCTAGGACACATAAATTATTTATGAAACCTCATATACAATTGTCAAGCATTTCTAATTGGCCAAAATATATTGTATCAACATCAAATCAAACATTTAAATTAATATAAATATTATTATAAAAGGAATAAAGTTTAGAAAAGGCCAATATATATTTATATATACTCTGGAAATATTTCCAAAACATGTGTTTGTTCTACTATGTTTTTAAAATTAATTACAATAGAAACACAAAATCGTAAATATTCAAGTTTTTCTTACTACTTTTTTCCCAGTTCTTCCTAATCATTATAAAACAATATACAATACCATTTTCATTCATTTTGATTTTATTATCATTTTGAACTAAGCACAATAATAAGTAAATCCATAGTTTACTGCAGAAAAGAGACAAATGATCGTTAAAAAGTCTGAAAATAACACTTAGAAATTCCGATTCATAACGGAAAGGTGACCATAACGTTTCTAAATAATACCCTGTTTGACCTTTCTGCAGTAAATTGGTAGTTCCCATTTTTTCATTAACTATAAAAGTGATATTTAGAGGCTAAATTATCTGTCACATGATAACATTTTTAAAATAATTCTCTCATCATTAAGTTACTTATAAATTTATTGGGAGAATAAGGAAAAAATTGTAATCCTAGATTAAGATGACCTTAAAAGAATTTCTGTTTACTCTAACAATTTTATCTACAGAATAAAAGCAAATAAAAGTTTTCTGTCAAAATATCAAGTCTTTATGAATAGAAACTTTAAATTTAGTGTTTTTACCGATATTTATATAAAATACTTTAAATATCAAAAAACAACTCTCTGTCAGTGGTGAAGTGTTAAAACGAACAAAATTGTGATTTTTCGATTGGAGTAATATTTCTGGTAAAAAACCTAACAATTTTATTTGCAAACCAAGAATATGATGAAAATTATTCATAAATAAATAGATTTTAAACGAAATTATTAAGTAGGTATTTTATATTTTTAATGCTAATTATCTTATTTTATTTATTTTTTTACTATCCTATTAACATTTTAGTTATGTACTTCTTATTTAAATTAGAAATGTAAAATAAGTTAATTAAATTAATGTATTTTTTAGTGAAATTAGCTAAATCGTTTGCGTAGTTTAAATGACACAATGTAACAGTTTGTATAGTAAGAATACATTTATTTCAGTATAAATTTCGATTAAACTATGCGGTTTGGGTTAGGAAAGAACTGGTATTTTGTGATTGTCGAAAAATGTAAAATAAATAAATAGATTATACCAATTTATCAGATAAAAAAAAAAAAAAAAAACGATATTGAACATAGCGCTGAATTCAAATTTCCATACTTTTTAAAATTTTGTTTCACAATATTTTTTCAGCTTTTAGATTTTTAGAATGATAAAGCTCCTTTTTTAGTTTTTTAAAAGTGTGCTATTTTTTTTCGGAAAACACAAGGTAAAAATTTAAAATACCTTTAATTTTCCACGTGATAACTCAAACAATTTTCAACTACACGTTTACTCACCTACAACAGTGACCTATCCACGGTGTTATTGACAACTTTTATTTTTGCAAGTTTTTTGGATGTTGTAGGTGAGAAGTTTGGAAGGTAATATACAGAAGGGAAATTAATTTATATCTATACGCAACAATAAGCCATTGCTTACGAAAAACGATACGGAGTGGATTTCAATAAATATTGTTGATTTGTTAACAATATATATGTCATATTATGATAAAATAATTACATATGTATTTAACATTTTCTTTAATAATATTTAATTTTACGAAGTTTCTTTTATACTTGTAGGATGTAGTAAATAAATAATACACTCAATCAACTTGGAATATTCAAAACAGGATTCTTTTTGTTTTACTAACCTTTGACCACCCGGACGTATCCAAGTACGTATCTAAAGGTTTGGGGTGTTTTTTGTTTTGCGGTATGATGAAAATTCCTTTATAATACGCCGGCGAACGGACATCTGGTTGAATATTTACAGTGTTCAACCACGAAGTTTCATTCAACGGATATCTGGTCATCACCCATGGGCCTAAGATATGTTTTCCCAATGTCACATTCGACAAAATCCCCTAAAATCAATTTATTGTTATATTATTAACTTGGAAAATAAACGAACCAAAATATTTTCACTTTTCTATCCTCTAAATAGCTCTTGTCATTAACTCTGCCTTGGTCTTCTACAAGAATGCTCAGCTTTTGGTCACCACCGGACACCAACAATTCCATTGTTGTATTCTTACTGGATCGACTCATTATTCCTAATTTCTCCTGAAAAAAGTAAAACAAATTTCATTAATAATATCTTTTATTTTTTTTTAAATATTTACGATGTTTTCAAATGATTTCATTAAAATAATCAAACGAAATATTTTAATATTTTTAAATTTAAATTTTAAAATAATTGTTTTGCAGTAAACCTTCAAAGAAACGCTTGAAACTTGTTGTTAAATATACTACATTTTGTAAAATTTGTTATTCTTTTGAGAATATTCTAGAAAACGTAAAATTCTTATAATATATTTTATGAATTATTGCATTCGAAATTATTATTATTATTAATTATTGCGTTTTGATTTTCTACTTTCAAACGACTACATGTATAAGTAAAAAAGAAAATAAATGTTGATTTTATTAATGAATAAATCTTAAATGATATGAAAAATGCTCTCAAATGAAATTTAACCGCGATTAAAAATTAAATTTCACTTAATAGCATTTTTTATATACTTAAGTGTTCATACTCGTAATTCTTAGTTATTGTGGTAGTCGACGTATTTTTTTTTGCCCGACACTGACTAAACTACACGACATACTTATAAATAATAAATAATCGATGAGTTGAGTATTGACAACCTGTGAGGGACATTGCAATTTCCAGTAATTTACGATTATCATGTCGTCTAGTAAAATAAAATATTTCTTGCGGGTTTTACAACAATAATTCCTGTACCTATACAGTTGTGAAAACGCTAATTATTAAAAACGCTCAATAATATCTTCGTGCAGGGTAGCAGTGTAATTGAAACTCAATCAAAAAGGAGGGAGGCGGTTTAAAAATTGTAATATGCCATAAAATATCACAAGGGTTTACTCATTCCAAAAAAGCAACAATTAAATTTTTTTTTTTTTTAAATTTGATGAGAAAACTTGAAAAAAATCGAAAAATGACCTCCTTAGATACCTCCACACACCGATTTTCTTTTAGAAAAGGTGCTACACTTAGAAATCTGAGCAAGTCAAATGTGCCATTTCACCAATAATTTTCTTTCGGGTTTTTCCCAATTATTTCGAAAACACCTTGGAAAATTAAAAAATGTTTAATGTTTAAGTGTTTAATGCACCAACCAAACAAAATTTTCTTTCAGAAAAGGTACTATATTTTATGCATCAAAGTAGAGTAAGATTTCTAGTAAAAAAGTTGTTCAAAGCCATTAAAAAAAAAAATATAAAAACAAAAAAAAAAAAAAAATACACGTCAAACCAATCAAATCAAAGTTCCTTCACTCTATTGTCTCTACTCCGAATCTAAAAGAGAACACATCATAGTAAAACCAATAGATCTTTCACCGCGCTCCAAATCTAAAATAAAAAGCCGAAAATAGTGAAGCTATTATTGCTAGAAACTTTCTCGTTTTTTCCTAATTAATAGGAAAAATACATAGAAAATCAAAAAATGACTTTTTCAATTCATAAATTATATCAAAAGTTTTACAAAAATACTTTTTTATGTTTTTTGGATTCGAGCATGACTTCAAGTAGAAAACTCACACTCACACACAAACATATTCACATAGTAATAACAATTCATTCTTCTCTGCAGTCAAGATCTACAACATATTTCATACATTTTTTTTCCAACGTATTTGTAATTATTAAGAAAACTACACGAAAAATTATAAAACGACTTCCTCAGTACACCAACTACACAATTTGTTTTCAGAAAAGATGTTAAATTTAAAAATCGGAGCTAAATTTTTAGAAGAAAATTTGTTTACAGGCATCAAAAATAAAAAAATCGCATTGTAGGAAAACCAAACCTCCACACAGAATCCACAAATTCACTTTTAAAACACGAAATTCCAATTTCGTAACTCATTGCACAGATATTGAGTACTAATAATTATCAATAGTTGGCGTTTCCACACTGTATATTATTGGTGAAACAATAACTCACAGTGTTTAAAAATATTATCGCTCGGTCGTGGAGTTTTTCGACGATTAGCGGTAATTTCGTTGGCTTTTCGAACGTCGGTAAATTCGTTTCGTACAATACTAAACCGTGGTCCTGGTCTATGTCCTCGAAACACAGTGGTACTTGACTGATAACCGGTTGAAGACGTCTGGAAACTCTATCTAAAAGACTGGCCACGGGCAAAAGATTCACCGTCCCGTAATTCCCTTTCGGTGCCCGCTTCGGAGTGAAAAATGTAGGAAAATTCTGTAAAAAAAAAAAAATTTTATTAACGAATTATCGCAGTTGAGAGTACAATATTGTTACATAAAAATGTTCAATACACTTGCTACGCGAAAAAAGTTGGCGAACTCGCGAACTGTTTGCGCTTTTCGATTAAAAATGCCAATAATTTTAATAAGTAATGTTGTATTAATTTCATTTCTCATCGTATGAATAGTTAATTTTACAACTCACGTTTTCCCAAAAAAAAAAAACTTTAATGTTCGAATTTTCAAATTGCCCATTTGAAAATATTTAATCACCACACAATCAAGAAAATAAAATTGATCTTATGTTATATTACCGCTTCTTTAAGCGTTTTTTTGAAAGCGTAGTATTTCTCAGTTGGATCACCGGCTTCGTCCAGTAGACCCGAAAAATCGTACGACGTCAATTCAGGTTTATAGTCTGCCGTTTTCAAAGTATCTCCGTTCGAATGTGCACCCGAAGTAAATCCAAAATTTGTTCCACCGTGGAACATAAAAATGTTTATTGATGCGTTTAGTGACAGTAATAATTTGAACCCGTCGATTATTTCTGTGGTGTTTCTCACCGGTCGCGGTTCGTCCCAAAATGCAATCCATCCAACGTAAAATTCCGAATTGACCAAAGGCCCTCGTTTCTGCACTTGTCTCATGTAGCCAAAACATTCGGTTGCTGTAAAATAATATTAATAATAATAATAAAAATCGAGGTAATAATAGAGTACTCAAAAGTGTCATTTTCTTTTTACAAATTTTAAATGCTCAATAATAATTTAAATTGAACGTAGGCGTACTACAGATATATATTTATAATTGTTTTCAGCATAACATCAAAGTTTAAACAAAAAATTAAAATGCAAACTAATTTTGATGAAATAATTGTATTTTTTACTATAAATACTCGTAATTACAATATAATAAATAATTTATTTTAAAGAAATAATAATTTCATATACATCTTGCATATTTTTGAATTTTTTTCTATATATTTTTTCAAGTTTACCTAGTACAACTTCCGTTTATATTTATAAGAATATTGTTTTTCGAAATTACGTTTGCTAACTTGTCGCGCATTCACGAATTTTTATGAAAAGGGATATTGGTACCGTTCGTATTTAAAAGTTTACAAATAGGCAATTTTCACAAAAATTGAAGTTTTAACAATTCAAAAATATTTTCACTATCGAATAAATGTATAAGAAATCCCGTTTTATAATACGATTTCCTCTTTGAGAGCGTTTTAACGATGTTTTACTGTGCTCAAATAAACATGTATTGTGAAATCATGATGTAAATTTAAATGTTTACGACTAAGTGTTTAATTTTTCCATATTTATAGTAAAATTATCAAAATTTCAGTGTGTACCATTGATTTCGGTAACTACGTCATACGTAATTTATTCTATTTTAATTCTATTCTAATTCTCTATTAATAATATGTATGCCGTTCATAATGTACGAATAGTATATAGTGTTCTTCGCAAAATAGTTTTTAAAACAGAATCATAAGGGCTATCACGTGATCATAGTGCTTGTATTAATACATTTACATGTCCAGTAAGACATTTGGTTTTGTGCCAATTTGCCAAACTTGAATATTTTTCCTGTTACATTCTATATTTTGAAGATATAAAATTGTCAGTATGATATAAATTTTCGTATTTATTATGCAGTATAATTAAATATTTAGTATTTTTTGGTTATATTTATATAGTATATTAAAAAAAAACGTACATTTCCCCTCATCCATCTCAATTTTAAATTCGTCATTCTCGTGGGTGAAATGTTAGTATCCCGTTAATATTGTATAATCGAACAGAATTCATCATTAATAGATAAATGAGATTTTTTTTTTTTAATTAATAAATTCAACGGAGGACTGTAGAAATGAACAAAATAGCCAATTCAGATGTATTCGACATTTTTCTTAGCCCAATCATTAATTTGCAAAATATTGAAATTAAATATTTATAATATTACAAAAAAATGAATTTAATAATTAAATAATTATAAATAGGATTCGGATTTATTGTTTTAAATATCAATACTGGGTATGTACAGCATTATGAAAGTATAACTTACGTGAAAATTCATTTAACACTAAATTCACATGGATGTGTTTTGCAAATTTGAATTAATTTATTTGAGAAAACAAAATTTTCTCTACTAACGACGATTTTGTTCTACTATAAAATAGTAACGACCCACAAAAATAAAAAAATAGGCCCAGAAAATCTTATGATTGTTGAAATTGTCGATTTTGACCATTTCTCTAACCAAAGGTTTATTCATTTTTAAAAAAAAACCTTGTTATCTACTAACGATTGATCCTAAACTACTATCCAACACTAACAAGATACTAATGATTGGACAACGAAAAACGTCAGATTTTAAAATCGGAGAACTGGGGAAATATACATTTTAAAAGACCCGTTGCATTTATTATTATTCTGGTAATTTTGTTCGTAATTGCAAATACCTAAACAATTTAAATTGCAAAACGTATAAAATAAATTTAAAACTTAAGCACATTTTTGGGTAAATATTATAATTTCAAACTTCAATTTCAAAAGATCAATTTTTAACTTTTTTTTATTCTAGTACTTTAGATCAAACCAAAAGGTTCAATGTGGTTGTTAGAATGTTATTAATTATTCTTCATAATATTGAAAACAAAATAATTATATTATACTTTTTTTGAATTCAAACTATCAATAGGATATTTACCTATTTTTATCGGAAATATTTGTGTTTCAAGATACATAATATAAGATTTATGCATAGTTTTACGTTTATTTTTTTTTTTTTTGTATTAAACAATCAAGTACTCATTTTTATAAGTCTTATAAAATATTGTCTATTTGAATATACTCGAATTCCTTCAAAAATTTTTCCAAAATTGACTAATTGCCCAACTTTATGAACTTACCGTTAAGAGACGGAGCAAAATCAGTCGTGGAATAAACATTCGGAATGTGACCAAATTCCATGTAATTTGCATCGCATTCGTCAGTAGTGAAAAGAAGAGCTTGATCGTGTACATATTTTTGAAACAAATCCCTCAGCCAAAATATGTATTTCTGATCGTTACCACTTAAATTATTGTGGCCATATTCATTTTCTATCTAATAAAAATAAATTTGACACCGTCAAGTGATGGCTACTAATATTCATTGACATAGTTTTATGCAGTTGAACATGAGTATCAACAGATATAATAGATTACATCTATACGAAGTGCGATCAAAAAGTACAGGTACTGTTTGAATTGCATGCTAACGGCGCGTTAAAAAAACATTAGGATAATATCGCTGACTTTTGTGACGACTTCTCCTAAACACATCGGTTTTTGTAGAAGCTTCATAACCTTCTTAGTTCAGATGTAACCGATTTTTTTGTAAAATATGATTTTCATGAATCCAAAAGAAGAGCTTTTCGGAGGGTTAAAGAGGATATTTTCTTCCACTATGATGACAAAAGCTTTTTGCACAGAGCATTTCACATAATCGAATGGTTAGAAAGGTTTAAAAAATACTAAGTGGAATTTCACCTCCTGATAGTTTACTAGTGAATAAACATTCAGGAGGTCAAATATTACGGTGGTCAATTTTCGACTTTACAGCAGTACTTTTTGATGACATCTCGTACATCGTGTATCGTGGATAAAAGCACAAAAATACATTTTATATAAGTTTCAGTTTAAAATTTGACGCACATTATAAGATTTAGTTCTCAAATATATAGTCTTTTTCCGTTTTAAAAACGATGATGAGCAAATTCAATTGGAATTTAGTTTTCTTACATTTTATTTTATCGTAAAATATTACTAATATGGTTAATAATAATTTATAATAACTATACAGTATATTATTTATATTATTTCAGTTTATTATATAAATTGATTATTCTGGAAATAAGATTTTAGATTCAAAGTGGAGTGAAAAAGCTTATAGTTTTACAAAGATATTTATTTTTATTATTTTTTTTGTGGACAACCTTTCTACCAGAGAGCTTGTTCAGATTTTTTTAGTTTAGTACTTTTTCTGAAAGGAATTCATTGTGAGGAGGTATTTCAAGGAGGCCGTTTTTGTATTTTCTCAGACGTTTTTTCATAAAGTGTGAAAAACCAGGAAAAAACATGGGAAAACCGGGAAAAACGTAGGAAACACGGGAAAATCGGTACATAAAACAAATATTATTAAAGAAAAAATATAATACCTATTTTATTATTTCACCATAATATGACATATTTATTGTTGACAAAACATCACAATCAACTGAACTGTACGGGAAAATCGGTACAACCTGAGTACATCCCTATACCGATTTCCTTCCAGAAAAGGTGCTACACTAAAAAAAAAGTTGTCGACAGAAAAAAAAATCTTTGTAAAACTATGAGCTTCTTCGCTCTATTCAGAATCTAAAAAAATACGCTCTTTATTTAAAAAAATCATACATCGTCACATTATAGTGAAACTAATGGATCCTATGCTACTCTCCAAATCTAACGACACATAATAATAATATACACATCGTACGGTACCTAAGTATTTTTTTTTTTTATCAAAACTAATTCTATAAATTAACTTTATTTATAGATGATAATATATCTAGCACGTCAAAATGAAATTAAACGAGTGGTAAAACTACATCTATTTAGTAGATCTGGTTAAAAAGATATTTATTGATAACGCCTGTGTTAATGAGGCGTTACGACACACATAAAAAAAAATCATCATTATTTAAATGATGATTACATTTATAAAATATATTTCGTCGTAATAAAAATATTTCTAATTGAATATTTTAAAAATATTTTACAAATACGTATATATTTTTATATATTTTTAAGCAAATTATTTCGTAAATATTTTAAAAACCATTTATTTGAAATATTTTGTGATTTAACATACATTATATATTTTCAAAAAAATCATTTTTTACTTTTTGAAAATATTTTTTAAGATTTATTTCTAAAATATTTTTAAAATACTAACGTTCGAGAAGCGCTCACTTTATTTCGTCATCAAGCGATACCGCTTTTTTTCGATATTAATCGAATATCCGTCTAATCGAAGTATAACTTATATACCCGTAAAACGACAATTTTTTTTTACTAATTGTAGTAACTAGGTAAGTCGGTAGATTAGGTTTATTCGTAAGAGTTCCCGGCTGTCGTTGGCCGGATTTTTCGCAGTTTTTTTTTTCGCGAGTTTTCCTTTTCGGTCCCCTCTCCCCCGATCATACTTATTATTGTTATAATTATTATATTAAACGTTTTTCTATTTATTTTTCACGTATTTTCCGTATCTATTTTTTTTTTTTTTTTTTACAAAAACCGGCCCTCCTCTCTCAAAAAATGTTTTCAAAATACAAAAATATAATATAAAATATTTTTGAAATGATTATGTTGACGATTTTTTTGGCCACAAGAAATGTTTTAAAATACGAATCAACGAACAGAACAGTGATCGTTATACAATTGTAGCTAGTTTTATCTCTTTTTGTACTTGACCACGTGTAATCCACTTTCACGCAAAATTTCATAAATTAGCAATTCTCTAGGTCATTGAGATTTAAGAGATGTAGGATATCGATCTCCTAAAACTGGTTTTTAAATATTTATGACACTATTTGAGGTGTAAGATTTATTACGATTATTCTATAACTCCAATTATATCCGAATAGTACATTTGTGGGTAAGTTGCCTTCTGCATAACGCCGTTTAGTCTCATGCAAATTTATATGTTTAAATCTTAAACTCACTTGTATCATTATTATATTACCGCCGTTCCCGTATAAACGAGGTACAATTTTCGGCATTAATACTGAAAACCACCTTCGTACATATTTCGTGTGACCTAAAACACACAAAGAAAAGTTAAACGAATAGCAATTCTATACATTTATAATTATAATTAAATACATATATACAGTAGTACCTACAGTTTTCAACAGTAGAAATTTCTAAGGTTTTCAACGACGAAAAAATATCATTTATAACAAAATTATTCGGTGTGCCCACAATTGTGTTAAACAACTTTTTTTTTAAAATTATTTCTTACATTATTATATTAAATAAAATTTACTATTTTCAAATATTTTAAAATGTTATAAATGTATCGTTTCTAAAAATCGTAGTTTCTACGTGATTTAGAAATTATGAAATTATTGTATGAGTTTATATTACTTGGATCACTAGACCGGAGTCTTATTCTAGGTTTTTCTTTCAACAGCCAATACGGATATCCGCCCTGTGCAATTAAAACAGATAGAAAACTAATTAATTTAGCCTTTAAATTGTCCGACTAGAAATTTAAATGTTAAATTTTTGTTAACAAGAATAGTAGTAATAATTTATCAATTGATTGTTATAAAACCATATACAAAATTCAAAAACTATAACAATAATTGCGTCAATTTTTAGATTCTGAGCGAACGAGGAATGTAGTGGTTTTACAATGATATTTATTTATTTTTTTATTATTATTTTTTTTTACATTGTGTATAAAATTTCTACCCGAAATCTTCAATTTTCAAGAACAGCACCATTTCTGAAAAAAAAATAGTTGGTACTTTAAAGAAGTCATTTTTTGATTTTCCAAGTATTTTTAATAATCGGGAACACCGGAAAATTTACGAAAATAATGTTTTTATTTTTAATTTTGTTTTTTTTATTTTAATTCATTTTAAAATATTCGTAGACTGGAAATTTAGACAGAAAACTTATATTTTTATTTTCTAGACGTAATAAAATCTTCAAAATACTTATGCCATTTTTGAGCTATTTATAGGCATTTCAATTCTACGAGATTTTACGTACATTTTATTTGATTGGTTATTTAGTTGGTCATATTTTGCAGTCAAAAAAAAAAAAAATTGAGTTGAATGGAAAATTATTTTTATAAGAATTTTAATATCAAGTTTTAACAAAAATCGTAAATATTATTACAAAACATGTATAACCGAACTCCGCTCAGAATCGTTTTTCATTAGCAAAGATCGATCATTATATACAGATATACATTACATTTCTCTACCTAGCCAAATTCTCACTTATAACAGTGGCCCATCATACGGTGTTTGTTCGTCTCTTTTTGTTTCCATGTAAACATAATTTATTTAATTAATAATTATTTCTTCTCAATCGAACTCTGTGGTGCTTCATCGATGCCGAACGTCTGTAGAGTAATACATTCCTGACTTGAATGATTCATAATTAACGATACCATGAAACGAAACGAAGGTTTAATTATCTTGTACCGACTCTCGCTAAGTTGCCCCGTGTAGTCTCCCAGAAATATCAAGTTAAAATAATCTTAACATATTTATGGTTTAACAAATCATATTAAATCATTATTACATTTTCTTTTTCTCGTTTTCAAATAATTATTTCATAACTTTGAATATTAATAAATATAAATCAATCAAATTTACCTAGTGACGATTGCCGATTGAAATTCTTATATTGCGGAATGGGGGGGTGCCGCATCCCCTTATAACGCACCTTCGGTTCGTCCCTAAGTGTAACTACGAAAATTGACATTCATGATATTTGACCCCCACTTTCCCCTATCCGATAAATTTAACTAGTTAAATGTTACCGTCTCGTTGAAATATCAGCCAGAGACGATAATATTACTTTATTACTTTATTACTTTATTTGTGTCATAAACCGATAAACCTAGTCGAGAATGACATGATCTTGAGGTGACACGTGAATTTATGCCAGTATTAAATGTAAATTAAATTTTCTTTTACTTACATCAAGTTTTTAGACTGAATAATTATAAAATTTAAATAAGTTACTAAAATGTTTAAATTATTCATAATTTAATAATATTTAAATTCAATCCACGTGTATTCGTATAAAAACTATTAATTTAATTTATGATAATGAATTGTATATTCTTAATTAGTATGAAAAATCGCTTAATATGTCTATCTAATTGATTTTGCATGTTTTTGGTCGCAATTATTGCAACAGTACAGAACAAATAATTATTGTCTGCATAATATTACATTATTCAACTAAATTACATATTAATTAATGACGTAGTCAACTATACATAAACTCACGAAATCTCTTTCGGCCGAAATAAATGGACCCGGTCTGAGTAGTATTAACATTTTTTCTTGTTCCGCTAAGTTCAAAAAGTGCTCTAGGTCGGCTTGACCTTTGAAATCGTAAACACCCGAATACGGCTCATGCATACTCCATTCAACGTAACTATAAAAATAAATTTATTTTAAACTTATATGGTTGAAGACAATGTACAAAAATTTAAAACTTAATAATAATAGTTATACATTTCGAATATAACCCTATTACGGGTTATCTGTATGAATATAGTGACTGTTAGACTTTAAAATGAATATAAATATATCAAATTTAAAAAAAAGCTGATATTGAGGACGGGTGTGGCCACTGTTGCAGGTGGGTAGTGAGGAAGGTGGGATATATAAAGTGATTTAATTTATACCAATAACTAACAATAAACCTAATAAAATACGAATATCTATTCGGAGAAAATTCCGATCATACAAGTATTTTGAAATGCCGTAATAATCACGGTTTTCCTTAAAATTTGATTTTAAAACTCTTATAAAAACAAAAATACATTTTACACAATTTTATTTTTTGAAACAAAATGTATAAATCATTTATAAATGAACCTCACCCAAAATCAGTTTTCGTTAGTAATAGTTTATCATTGCTAACAGACATAAATTAAATAACTTTATATATCCTACTTTCTCAACTTCCCACTTACAACAGCCACTAGCTGTATCAGCCATCAGTTCTTTTTAATATAGAGAGGAGTGAAAGATATATTGGTTTTACTATAATGTGTGTGTGTTTTTTTTTTTTTTTTTTTTTTTGTATTTTATATTTTTTGTGTCTGTGAACAACTACAACTAAAATAATTATTACTCTTTATTTTTCTATTAGAAATGTGTTTCCAATATAAAAATTACTAAGTGGATAAAATGGTTTGACCAAATAGAAATGCTTGTAAATTGAATAGGAAGTTACGCTTAATGGTCAAAAAAAATAGTTGAGTGTAACTTAGTATTTTTTTTTTCATAGAGTTTTATATGAACATTTTTGCTGAAATCGTCAATATTATGGTTTTTCAAAACACGTATAACCAAAATTCACTCAGAATAATTTTTCGATAGCAATGATTTTTCGTTTCAGATACAATATTTATAATTGTATGTTTCCTAAAACGGCTACCTTCCAAACTTCCCACCCACACCAGTAGTGCACCCACCCCAGCATTATTTTTTTTTTTTTTTATAATTCAGTTTAAAATAATCGTAAGAACCAGAAAATTTCAGCTGATTATTTTGTTAACACTTCTTAGACGTAGTGCAATTTTTAAAATATTTGGTAGTTTTTTAATTATTAATAGTTATTTTAATTTTCTATTTTTCTTTTTGTTTCAGGTTAATACAAATTATACATTTTTTTTATATCAGTGTTTCAAGTTGAAATGTATACCATATAATTCATATAAAACTACTAACATTTGTAATTTTTTTTTTGTAGTTGCGAAATAATGCAATTGAATTTCGGTCAGAATAGTTTTTCGTTTGAAATAAATTATCGTTGCATGCGAATGTAAATTAAATTACTTTACGTATCATCCTGACTTCTCAACTTTCCATTTACAAAAGTGTAGGCCAGTGCGATTGTGTGAACTTTGTTGGTTTTTTTTTTATTCATTACATTTATATAATGGCGTTAAAACGAGTTTCAACGAAATCATATTGAAATTAAACTTATTGTTGTCATGTCAACATTTTCAAACGGTTTAAAGACTTCAAAACTGAAACGTTTACCAGTAATAGCTTAAAAAATGTAAATCATTTCAATACAATTAACCGATTTATCAACGAACATAATCATGAACGCGTTTTCGAAATCATACGACTTATCAGTTTTTGTTTGTGTTTTTTTTTTCCCATCATATATTTACTTATAAAAAGTAATTAGTAAAGTATATTCAATTCAATTTTAATTAGATAACAAAATTATTTATAAAATTGATTTATAAACCGTTCACTAAACTAAACAGTTTTCATATTTATAAAGATATAAGATATTGGAAATTTATAAACGAGAATAAAAATTTCGCTTGATTTTCTCTGTAGTCTTATCAATAATTATGAAACAACTGAAAAAAAATTAAAATTAAAACTGACAAATTTATGGCGCGTGGCGTTTCGATTTGCATTATTTTTAATTTTTACGCTTTTCGTTTTCTACCAGATATATTGTTCCAAGAAAGCTTTTTGTTTTATTTTTAATCAATTTGGTGACTAATAAAACCATTTTTTAATTTTCTTTGTAGTTTTTTTAATAATTGAAAAAAACCAAAATATTTGTAGAAACTTTCTACTAGAAAGATAACGAGAGAATGTACGAAAATAATTCTTTATCATCTTAAATTTTGTTCATTTCAATGTAATTTAGTTAATAATATTCGTAGCGACTTGATATTATACGGAAAACTTATATTTACTTTTTCTAGATGTGGTCAAATTGTCATAACATTTAAGCTATTTATAAGCATTTCAATTTTGCTAGTTTTTTATGTAATTTTTATTTAATATGTACACCGTGGATAAAATTATTAGACTAAACAGAAATACTTGAACATTTGACACGAGTTTCATTATAAGTTGTACTTAGTGGTCTAGAAAACAAATTTGAATTAAATGCATTAGTTCTTTTTTATTACCGTTTGAAGATCAATTTTTAACGCAATTCGTAAAAATTACGGCGTTTCAAAATATATACAATCAAACTTCGCTCAGAATCTGTTTTCATTAACAACGGTTAATCGCTGCGTACAGATACGAATAACTTTATGTATACTACTTTCCTACATTCCCAATATTGATCACACACAACAATAACACGCCCATTTTAGATTCTGAATGTAGCGAAGAATGTATTGTTTTTATAAAGATGTTTATTATTTTTGTTTGCTTTACTGTGTACAAAAATTCTACCGGAAATATTGATCCGAACTATCAAGTATAGCACCTTTTCTGAAAGGGAATTTTCCTTGGGTGGTAATTTATGGAGGTTAGGTTATTTTTGATTTTCTTAGGACTTTTTATAATAAATATGAAAAAACGTAGGAAAATTATGCATTTATTATTTTAAATCTATTTTTTTTATTGTTATTCGGTGAAGAATATTTGTAGAAACGTGACATTTTGATATTTCTAAACGTTTTAAAATATTCAAACATTTGAGTCATTTTTTTAATTATTTATATACATTTAATTTTGTGAGTTTTTACGTAATTTTTATTCGGTAGGTACTCTGCGGATAAACTTGTTAAACTTTAGACTAAATAGAAATGCTTGAAAATTAAACAGGCAGTTCATTGTAAATTAAACTTAGTGGCCAACAAGACAAAGTTGAGTTTAATGTAGTATACATATATATATATTTTTTTTATAAAACTTGTAATATCAAATTTTGACGAAAATCGTAATTATTATGGCCTTTTAAATATGTATAACCGAACTCCGCTCAGAATCGTTTTTCCTTAGCAAATATTAATTGTTGCATACAGACATAAATTAAATTCCCCTTTATATCCTACCTTTATAATTCCTCATCTACAACAGTGGCCCACAGGCTCACCCATAATGCGAAGTATGTCCGTCTTTTTTTAATTTGTTAATGTTTTATTTAATTATTACTGTTGTTCGTATTTAAAATATTATACTCATCATGTATGCTTATAACTTATAACGTTTACAATTCACCCAACGATCCATATTAGCCGGAGTTATTTTTAATAAAATATTTATATACATATATGTATAGTAGTGTGCGTACAATTTTGAGTAAGCAAATACTCGTGTGTTATAACTTTTTTTGAAACGTATGTTTTTGATGTATTTCGTTGGTTAAAAAAGTAAATATTTTACGGAAATTTCGAAATAACGCAATTATTACGTTTTGTTACGATACAGATATTTATTATTACATAATTATTATATAATATTGACTCCAGACGTTCAAAATGTGTACATGTTTTTCCGCTCACCGACATATTGTATCAATACGAATAGGCACGGCCCGGCCGTTACAAAATATTAATAATTTTTGCTAATGGCGCAGACGTACTGATGTTAAAAACAAAAAAATTAAAAAATGGCCTACGAATTTTACGATTTGCAATACTACTATTTGTCTACTAAAACGAAAATATGTAGTCAACAATTTCAACGATTACGAATACGTATTGACTATGCTCTTTGGTAATAATATCGAGAGCGTGATTTAGAAGCTATACTGTGATTACATTTTTAACTATTACAAAGTAACAATATTTAGAAATGTTTTCATTTGTTTAGATTTTGGGTATAAAACGAAAAAAATATAAGTTTCTGAAAATGATGCGATTTTTTTTCTCTCGAAAAACATTTATTTACCATTAAGGGTTAGTAAAAATGCTACGATTATTTCATTCCATAAGTTAAACGATTTGGGTTTTTTCTTTATTTGAAACATTTCATGATATTTCTAATACTTTTTCCAAAAGTATACCTTTTATGCCTAAAAAAAAATAATTTTTGTTAGGCAAGTGCTCAATTTTCTCCCTCGCAGTAAGTATACCTAAAAGATGCAGAATTTCTACCCTGTGGTATTTTATTTGAAACAGTTATAGACGTTTTCAGCAATTAATTCCCTTGATCCTTTTTTATAGTATGATCTTTGTTGATTTCTGGGTTACCTTGACAACAAATAGAAAACAACACAAGGTTATTCTACTCAGAATAGGTTTTCCATACTTAAAAGTGGAATATCTCGTTAACGGATTGACGGAAATCAAAAATGTATTTTAACTATAACTCCCATATATTTATGGAATTTTTAATGTAAGTTGCCATTTGAAAATTAAAAGTAGTTATTTTACACTCAAAAATAAGGATTACAAAAAATAGCATAAGTTTTAAATTCTAGAGCTTGTTTCTTATTTTTTTTATAAAACAAATTCCGAAAAAAATAAATACTTTCCGAAATAATGAATGTACTCACTTAAATGAAATTCCCTGTATAATGTATACTTAACTACTATGTATATCCTATACTTTACCTATTACACACAAATCGGTAATAATACGAAAAATTTACGATGGAAATGACGAATCGGATGTTAACGAAAATATTATATGACGATAGGTTAAAAAACCAGTTCAGTTTGCTAATGTTTTGCAATATTCGTGCTGTATAACGGACGCGATGTAATTAAATACAAAAATATCCTCTTCCAACATTTTTAGTGTTTCTTCGGAGGGTTTATATTTTCAAATAAAAAAAAAAAATGTATTCATACATTTTTAAAACCTAATAATTTATATAGGTAGGTACTCGATTAATTTGAACCATCACTGTTATTCTATCCTCCGAGAATGGAATGGATACCTTGGTATTTCAATACTTATACGTTATCTATATCTTAACAATATTATATAAATCACTGGAGTGTATCGAAATTCAGTTAGTCTACTTTAATGATTTTTCAGACCTTCACTAAAAAACGTAATAACTATTAATGTCAAACTAAATATTTTGACTGTACCTAATATTAAACATTTTAATATCATATAATATTATAATTTCACAGTTTAATTTAAATCAATAACCAACAGTTGGTTTTATGTTTTCGATTCTGAGTCTGGCGAAAAGCTATTTGTTTTACTACCTATAAGATGTGTTAACCGACTTGCTGTACATATGTATTTAATTAACTTTTCTAGATTTTCGACAGTTAATTTAGAAAAAAAAAAAAAAAAAAACATAAAACTGATAACAAATATTATGATATTATGACCCAAGTGTATAAGGGGAAATTAACACAACTAATACAGTAATTCTATATTATTACAATTTCACCAGTTTACCAAACTCATAATCGTTTTACGAACGCAATGGTTTCACGTTGTTCCCCTATATCATATTCTATATACCTCCCTGACTCACCACCTACAGAGTGGTAGGTTACGCTAACCGTGCAGAGTATGTCCGTTTTTTTTTTTTTTTTATTATTATTTTTTACAATGTGTTGAGAATTTATTCTAAAACAATAATTTAAATTAATAGACTATATTATTAGAACATACCTTAAAATATACGAATAAAACAATAGAAAATAAAACAACGGCTATAGTATTGTAATAACAATAGCACTCTAGAGGTTATCAGTATTTTTTGTTTATTAGTTTTTTCATTATTACTTAAGATTCTGCGAGTGGAACGAGGAATATATTGGTTTTACAATGATATTATTTTATTTTTATTTTGTATTTATTTTTTTAAAGTGAACACTTTTTCTACCAGAGAGATTTCTCCGATTATCAAGTACAACACCTTTTCTAAAAGGAAATGTTCTCTGGGTGGTATTTTAAAAAGGTAATTTTTTTAAAAATTCTCATTAGTATTCGAGATAATGAGGAAAATCTGATACTTTATGTTAGAAAAGATTGAAAGATTAAAAATAAGATAGTCTCTGAGAACCATTTTTATTTATTTTTTGAAATTATTAAGTTTTTATTGTTTTAAAATATTTTTTAAACAATCATTTTTATCGTGAAAACGCACATTGTTGTTATTATTTTACTTTAATATGACATATATATTATTGACAAAGCAACACTATCAACTGAATTCCGCTCAGAATCGTTTTTTTCGTTAGCAATGGTTTATCTTTGCTTACAGATATACCTTTAATTCGCATTTGTATGCTACTTTCCAAACTTCTCACCTACAACAGTGTCTGCATCCACGTGCGAAGTATGTCCGTCCTTTTTATATACACATAATATAATAGTTTTAAATTTTGAATCAATTAAATCATGACCACATAATAATAATAATAATAAATTTCATTTATAATACTACTTTTATTAGTTGTGTTTAATACAATTGTAGTTAGAGATATTATACTTATATTTAATCGTAGACAATGTACTAAAAATAAAAACTAGTCATCATGATTGAGTAACATTGTGTAATATATTATAAGTACTATCTATTTAAATACAAAATCAAATTCTGAGTAAATATTTGTAACAACACTATAATAATTATTAATCGTGTATATTACTTAGAACATACAAGCAATGACAAAAAAAGTCATAAGGAAATAATTATGTTAGAGTAACATTATGTAAATATTTAAAACCGTCTTGATTTTTTGAGCAAGTATGACGACTTGGGTGACGGTATGTTCTATGCTGTTAAAAGTGACTGGGAAAAAACGATTTTCGAATAACGGGCTATAATCATTCGTTTTCAGTTAAGCATAGGCACTTCATCGATATATCTTATATGCATAATTAGTCCAAATCGGTATAGTATACGTTTGTACTTTGAACTATAAAGTTTAATTTTTTACGCATTCAATTTGTATTTATCAAGGATCATTACTTAACCCCTAATATAATTTTGCATTTAATTTACACCTTAAAACTTTACAGCCCGATTACAAGTGTAGTGCACGATAAAGAATATAATTAAAATTTAAGTTATTTACTATAGGTCAGATGTCAATATACAGTTTATTTTTTTATAGGTCATATAGATAAGTTTCATAGACCTGAAACCACTATAGTCAGATACAATCAAAAAAATAGTCATAAAGAAATGTACTAAAATATATAATTTGAGAAAAGACGGACGGACCACGAAAAATTTAGATAAGATTATTAATAATCTATGCGTGCAGTGGTAAATTAAACTGATATAATACTACGAATTTTTAATGTAATAATCTAGATAGACTTAAAATAATTTTAAGCATTTGTTTGGAATTTTTCAACATTTTTGGTCAGCCGGGGGGCTATTTGGCCTTTGGCCTATTAGTGTCAGAATACCGTCAAATAATTACAAATTGATATATTCTAGAATTTTTTTAAATGGTCCATAATGAACAACATTTTCTAGCTTTTACAATTAAGGTAAGTTAATATTGATGTATACTATTTAATACTTGCTACGAGTTACTTTGGTACTTTAAAGAGATAATTTGATTCTCTCAGGGGTTTTTATAATAAATGAGAAAAACCGGGAAAATGTACGAAATTAATTTTCAAATCGTAAATATTACTACCTTTTAAAACATATATAACTCCGCTCAGAATCGTTTTTCGTTAGCAAAGATTAAAGGTTGCGTACAAATATACATTAATAATTTCTCTCTATACCTTTTAACTTCTAGTCTATAACAGGTGGCGGAGGAGTTCCCATTTTCAAAACAGAAGATAATCTGAGTATCTGTACAAAACGCTAAGACAATAAAAATGTCTATTACTGTGTATAATTAATTACTACAGAATAAAACACTGAACTAAAATCAAAATTCAAATAAACTTTTCCACACTTTATATCTATAAGTAGTAAAAGAAGCTTACTGTTGATTAGTTTGTTTATTTGTGGTATAGCATATATTTGGATCTATCTCACGCAGACATCTGAAAGCTTAGACACAGAAGCGGATGTAGATTGTACGGTCTGTGTAAACTGACGTAGATAAAAAATTAAATTATGCACGCATGATTCCAATGATCTCAAATATATATTATAAATCATTAATCTAACCTGAATATTCAAGTGCCTAGTCGTAATAATTTATACTCTGTTTTCTAACAATTGTAATCATTAATTATATCATATAATCGTATAGATTCATTGTATAATAATAACAACAATAATAGATTAATTATTAGTAATTTAATAACAACTGCTGCTAAGAATTAATTTAACGTGGTATAAATCATTCATACAAATTATTTAAACGTTTTAATATTTAACGTATCCATGAAATTTCTAATATATTATCTACACCTACACCTACCTACCAAAGTAGATCATTGTACGAATAGGCGTAATTTCACTAAAATTCAACGGTGGAAAAACTGTGAAATTTACGTGTCTAAGACATAAAGTGCCTAACTAATAAAAAAAAAATACGGACATACTTCGCACATAGATGCAGTCACTGTTGTAGGTGGGAAGTTGGGAAGGTAGAGTACAGACGGGAATTTAATATATATATCTAAGCAACGATATACCATTACTAACGGAAAAATGATTCTAAGTGGAGTTGATAGTGTTGCTTTGTCAACAATATATATGTCATATTATGGTAAAATAATTAAATGAATTTTGGAAGCGCCCTCATCGGGTTCGTGTATTTTTGTATAGATACAGCTCGGTATAAAAAGGAACAACTTTTTTAATAGTTCATAACTAAAAAAAAAAAAACATCTATAAGATTCCCCCCGAAATATTATTCTTTATAAATTTCATAATAAGTTCTTTTACACTAAAATCAAAATTAAGCTAGTATTAGCTGGGCGTGCGTGGTCTTTGTTTTTTCTCTGTAGTTTTACTGAAACAATAGATGCGGGTGCGGCGTCCTCTTAAACACCGCTGTGCTTATTAATTTCTTATATTCCGTATATTCTTATACTTTTCAGAAAACATCTACCGAATTATTCGACAAAATTCGGCCGACGAAAATCGTCAAGACTAAATCTCAGATTTCAGTTGAATTCACAAAACGATACAGTATACGCACAGCTATTTCTATTAGTTCAACACGAATCAAGGACGTTCGCCGATGAAATGTCGTTGTTGGAAACCAATCCATTAATCACGTGATATCATGAAAATTCCACGTGTTTGTTTTCGTTTTAATGTTCGGAATAATAATATGGGATATATATAGTATAGTGGAGAATTAAATATAAGTGTAATAATGACGAGTATAATAAACAGTTGGTATAAATTAAAATTATTCGATCGGTTCGGCCGGGAATAACAAAATATTTCGTTTTCATTCGCAATATGCCGGGCGATTGAGGGGGGGGGGAGGGGTGAGGGGCAATTTATGGAGGGGAGAGGGGGCGGCGGTCTAGTCTCACCGTTACATAACAAATGCCTACCGAACAACATAACCGGTCGTGGGCGAGTGTAGGCACCGTATCCGGGCGGTGTCACGACCGTATCACGACCGGTAAACCGAATGGTACTTTCCGATTAGGTGGGTAGGCTACGTACGCGACGCTCTCGCCACAGTCCACACAGAGTACTTCTGTTGCAGGCTCGCAGCGGCAGTCCATCCGCAGACGGTGCAGTCCTATAACGGTCGTTCGCAATGGGGAAATTGTCGTTTCGGAAGTCTCGTGCGTGCGAAAAAGAGTAAGTGCAGCTTCACGCAACACGAACAATACCGTTTAAATGTCGAAAACGATTTTTGTTAAATCTATTTTTTTATTTTTATCATTACATCACTCGGTTTTTGTTTTTTGTTGTTTTTTATCCGTTCGCGTCGGTTACCATACCGTGGTGAACGTCGTTATCCGACAGTATCCGAATGTTCAAATCGAACATATTTCAACACTAATAGTTTAACAATACATTCAATTATTTATTTTTCACTATAGTAAAATTCAGCGAACTTCGCGTTCACTAACCTGACCTACGCGGGAGTGCTTAGGTACAGTCGTGATATTGTGCACGGGGGATTTTGAATGTATACATTTTGTTTCATTTTTTTCACCCGTCACGGAATCGTTTGAGCTTTATTTCATCGATGGTTTCTCATTTTCTCAATTCTACTCCTCGTACATCCAATGAGTATTTTGGAGTAAAGAAAATTACTTGGATCAATTAATGTTGATCGTGATTTGTGCGGTATAATGACTAATGGATTGTGTTATTGTTTTAAACGGATCATATTGTATTTTTTACTGTTGGTCGATTGGAATTTTCAAATATTTCTAAACGAAAAATTATTTCGCGTAAAATATCAAATATTTGTACAAAAATCAGTAAACGTCAATATAACTACGATTGATATGTTTCATAATTTAGTACGATATTAAGATTAATGTTACTTAATAATACGATTGGGGTGACTCGATATTGATTATCGTATACATTTTTGACATCCTTGCAAAAAAAATTTTAAAAAAACATCTATTTTAGTCTTTGTTTACTATTCGTAAACGGCGTGTCGTTCGAGTCTGGTATCGGTTTGTTATAATTACGGGTTCGACCTACAATTCAGTATGCAATTGATGTGTGTAAGAATCATGGAAACAGGTTTTTAGATACCAGACTGTTTTGTCTGGTACATAACAGACGCAATACGGCAGTATTTTAACAAATTTAATTTACTATCTACGCGATTTTCTGCCTGTTGTTTAATATAATAATACGAAGCTATTGATATTTTTAATTATTTACGAAAAACATAAACTCTACGACATTATTGAGCGAATTCAATAAAACAAATTTAAATGAATATAAGTAGTTCAAAAATGGATCAAATGTTTTCAAAATATTACCAGGTCTAGAAAAAACAAATATAAGTTTTTTCTGTCAACATTTCAAGTCTCTAAGATTATTTTTAACTGAATTATATTAAAACAAAACAAAATTTAAAATAATAAAATAATTGTTTTCGTAAATTTTTCCTTTTTGATAAATGCTCAATAATTAATAAAATGACAGAGAAAACTAAAACACAGATTACTTAGTCATAAACTAGATTAAAAATGCAACAAAAAAAGTCACTTTTCGTTTTTCTATGAGAGAAATATTTATGGTAGAAAACATAAGCCGTACAAATTTAATATAATAAAATCATTGCGCAATAATTTGAAAAAATCGTATTTTTCATCTTTTATGGGTTTTCAAAACTATTATGGAAACACTTTAGATATAAAAAACCGACATTCTTTGTCTGTGGGTATATATTAAAAGAAACGTCATCAAACTCTTGTCATTTTTTAATTAGAATAAGATTTCTGGTACTCGTAGAAAACATCGTTTGTAAAATTTAAAATAATTAAATAAAGACGTCCATATTTCCGTAAATATTAATGCATTTTCATTTTTTGGTTTTTCTTAATTATTATGAAATCTACTTAGGATATATAAAAAAAAAAAAATAACTTTCCATATCGACTATATGTTAAAAGGAATAAAATTTATCTCTTGTTATTTTTCATTTTTTTATTGGAGCAATATTTCTGGACCAGAAATACTGGTAAAAAACACAAGTAGCAAAATTTTAAAATAATGAAATTGATAACGTCATGTTGCGCAATTACTTCGAAAACTACATAGAAAATCAAAAAATTACCTTTCAGAAAGTGTGCCACATTTCATACGTCAGAGCAAGATTTCTAGTAGGAAAGTTGTTAAAAAACACAAAAATAAAAATAAAAACCAATAGATCCCTCGATACGCTACAAAGAATAAAAAAAAATCACACATCATAGTAAAACCGAATCTAAAAGACCCGATATTATGGATGTATATGCTACTGTTGAAGGTGTGTAGTCACGAATGTAGGATACATAAAGTTATTTAATTTATATCTATGAACGTAACGAAAAATCATGAAACGAAAAACGATTTAGCGTGATGTTACGCGCGTTTTTAAATGCCGTAATTTTTACGATGTTCATCAAAATTGAATCTTAAAATGCTTTTAAAAAAACTATACTTCATTACGCCCAACTTTTTTTTATTATCCATCTAATATAATAACATAATAATGTTAGCATCGAAACAATTAAGTAAAATAATAACATGTGTATACAATTAATATATTATAATAACATAATATGGTAATTTCAAATTTTTAATTTTTTCAGTCCCTTGCTCGGCCCAAGTTTTGAATCCAAACCGAAATGGTACCGGTCGCGGACCGTGTGGCTCCTATTGCTGTTCGTAGCATTTTTTGTAGGCATCGCAGTGTTTAAATTACACGAATTATTGAACAAGTCAATAGAGGTAAATACGATGTCAAATATTATTCTAATAGGTAATAATCTACCTTCAATTGTAATCAAATATTGATTTTATTTTAGAATAAACTCCAGGCTACTAGACTGATGAGTATAGCGACCGTCAACGAAGAATACTTACAAAAATGTGCGCCGCAAGTGACGTGCGATCCTAACAGTAAATATAGAACAATTAACGGGTCGTGTAACAATGTTCAAAATCCCACTTGGGGAGCGTCAATGACCCCATTTTACAGATACATGGATCCTGTGTTTAGTGATGGTAATTGTTGTTTTAAGCGTTTAAAATGTTTGTATTGTAAATTATTACGAAATCGACACTCATAACCACGGAAAGGCGGATTGTCTAAGTGTCTCAAAATTTTAAATAATCTCCCCAAAATTGGTGTGCTGATAATTTTTTTATACTTGTTCATATTAATATGATTATAGGTATATCGAAGTTTCGTGTTCAATCGGACGGAAGCCCATTGCCAAATGCTCGAACTCTCACGTTGACGCTGTTCCAAAACACGAGCAGAGTTTGCGATCATAAAAACAATGAACTTTTGGTACCTTGGGGCCAGTTTATAACTCATGACGTGGCTTTTTCACCGGTCAACAGTGTTAACTCATCATTCCCAGGTATGTACAATAATCAACGCACTAATAATGTTTACTTGAAAACGTTCAATTTCCGTATTTCAAATTCTGAGCGAAGCTAGTAACACATACCTGTTTTGATTTTACTATGACGATAATACCCCTTTTTTTTCTGACAGTGAACAATTTTTTGACCAGAAACCGAAAAGAATTGAAAATAATATTAATGTGGTTTCGAGAATTTGTTTTTAAAATCATAGATTGTTATTTCGGTTTCGTTGATGTCGATTTTCTGATACATGTTGACGGTTAATTTACAAATCGTAATTTTTAATTTAGTCAATTCGCTCAATTCTTACTTCACCATTGTTCTTAAATCGTCAATATACATATGTTAAAAAAAAAAAAATTGAAATTTAGATTTGTTCCGCATAATTTTTTACTCAACGATTTTCGCCAATATTTGATATTAAAATTCCTTTGTAAAAAAAAAAATAATACTCAAATTTTAAATTTTTTTGACCACAAAGTAAGACTCTTAATGAACCTCCTGTTAAATTTTCAAGCATTTTTGTTAAATCTAACAATTTTACTATTGTGCCTACTGAATGAAAATTACGTACAAAACTCGCAAAATTTAAATGTCTATAAAAACCTCAAAAATGGCTTATATTTTTTGAAAATTTTACCACGTCTATAAAAGGGAAATTCTTTAGCCCCCAAAATGAATTGTTGCGCACTAGCCTCATAATGCCTAATTGCGGCACTGCTCTCTAGACGTTACCTATAATTGCTATTCGCCTAGTGGCTATTAATTTCGCGATAATTCGCCTAGTTAAAATGACAAATATATTTCCTCCTAAAAATAATGTTTTACGTAGTACGTTTGATAATATTTGTTCAAGTACCTACAGATTGTCTGGTGAATGGTGGTAATGTGATATGTCGTGTACAACCGCGGCGATCATTCGCGTCTTGGAAAATAGATGATGTTTGACAATTATTTATTATATTCGTAGTTGTAATAATATGAGTTAGTAATGATTATAAATCGTCGTCCAAATTGCGGTTAGACCAATTATAACGACAGACGGTAATGTTGATAATTGATTGTATTTTATATTTATTGTTCATTGTTACAAATAAATATGAACAATTTTGGCCTCTTCCCCCCCCCAAAAAAAAAAAAAAAATCCGATATCCACCACTGTTTAATACGGTGATGTTTTTTTTTTTAATATTTTCATCCACGATACTGGTATCAACATTTTTTTCAAATATATATTTTTGTTCAATAATATATACAGATCGTCAGAGGCGTAGCTAGAGTGTTTACGGGGAACAATGAAGAATTGGGCATAGCTCCATGCCCACCTCTTCGTTGACAGTATTTTTAATATTTATATAATGTAAACATCATGATCGTTTCATGTTTTTCGCATAATAGCTACCGCTTACTTAACCAGCAGGTGTGTGTTTAAATGCAACCAATGAAATTAACTTCAACAGATAAATAATTTGAGTTTGTTTTTGGCATAATTATGATATCCTAGTTACACCACTGGCTATCATTATTCATTTATATTTACTTGCGTTTTACGTTTATAATATTATGTAATACTTATTATTAATTTTACATTATTAACGATGGCCCAATTAAAATTATTTTAATATTATTTTAAAAATTATACGTAGTTGTCAATTAAATTTGTTAAACACTTTTACAGATAGTCTAAACCATTGTTTGGACGTAAATCCGCCGGCCGATTGTGAGGCCATTATCAAATTGTTTCCAGACGATCCGACTTACAAAAATTATAACATGACCATTTTGAAATTCATGCGGCTCGTCACTTCGGCGAATTATAGTTGTCCTTTGGCTCCAGTTACCGTCGTCAGTTTTTTTTTTTTTTATTTAATTTAAATTGGCCGTATTATCTTAAAACGATTATTATATAAAAATAATTCCAATTTTCTCGCAGCTCGATCAAAACACGCATTTTATTGATGCATCAAACGTATACGGATCCAACGACAAATTGGCAAACGAGTTGCGTATGTACAACGGAGGAAAATTGAAATCTAACAAAATAAAAAACGAGGAGTATTGTCCGCAAGATCCGAGTAAACTACCTAAAAACGGAAATGCTGGAGTTATTGCATTCGTCGCAGGTAAATCGATAAGTATATAACAGATTAATAAGTCATAAGTGACAGTAATGACTTGAATCTCATTGTCCTCATTGTATTATTATAGTAAAGTTATTTTCATCAACTGATTGTATTCGTATTTTAAATTATTTATTTTATTTTTTTTTATCCCGATATGTTATTAATTTTAGATTCTGAGTGGAGTGAGGAATATATTGGTTTTAAATGATGTTTATTTTCTTTTTCTGTGAACAAATTTATTACCATCAATTTGGCTCCGATTTACAATGATAACAATTTTTATGAAAAAAACTGGGGTGGGATTTTAAGTTGCTCATTTTTTAGTTTTCTCAAAAAATGGAGAAAACCAGAAAAACATGGAAAACCCGGGAAAATATGTGCAATATTAAACAAATATTATTAAAGAAAATGTTTAATACATATATAATTATTTTACCGTAATATAACATATATATTGTTGACAAAGTAACACTATCAACCGAACTCCGCTCAGAATCATTTTTTCATTATCAATAGCTAATCCTTGTATATACAGATATATATTAAATTCCCGTCTATATCATATTTTTCCCACCTATAATAGTGGCTGCACCCATCTCCATTATCCTAGGACAGCTTTTTGGTTTATTATTTTATTTTGTTATGATTCAGTTAAAAATATTTGCAAAAAATTGAAGTTTAGAAAGAAAACTTATATTTGCTATTTGTACACGTGGTAAAACATTCAAAACATTCTAGCCATTTTTGAGCTATTTATAGACATACTATTTTTACGGAGTTTTTTACGTAATTTGTGTTCGGTAGGTACTTACAGATATTTACAAATTAATAAAAAATTTTATTTAAAAATATTAAAACACGTTTTACCAAATTTCGCTCAGAATTATCTTTCGTTTTGCAATGATTTATCTTTGCGTAAAGAATATAAACAAAGTTCCACACCCTGTAAACCCAACGTTATATATAAATTATATCGAAATTAATTTGTCCCGCCGCGTTTTTTTTCCTGGGTATCTCAAAACTTATTAGATACTTAATTGAATTGATTAATACCTACAAAAATATAAATTATTAAATATGTCTTGTTGGTTTACACAGGCGACGTAAATGTTAACCAGAATGTGGCTGTTGGATTATTTCAAAATATGTATTTGAGATTTCATAATTATATCGCTAAGAAACTGCAAGAACTTCATCCCACGTGGGCCGATGAAACGGTTTATCAAGAAACGCGTAGAATTGTCGGAGCTACTGTTCAGATTATTACCTACGAACAGTTTTTGCCAATAGTTTTGGGTAAGCTACAAACAAAAATATTTAGGCGATTACCATTTTTTTTTTCAAATTCGTATTTTAAATTCCGCAAATGTTTGTTAGGCGAACAATATATGCAAGACTATGGATTGACCAATCCAACAAATTATGACCCTACGCTTATTGTTTCCGTGGCACAAGAGTTTACTAGCGGTGCATTTCGTTTACTCCATAACATAGTTCCTGCGCAATTAAAGTATGTATATACAATCGAATTTATTATTAATAGTGAATAATATTTAAAGTGCCCTATGAGATTTACTGTGAAAGTTATAATTTATATGCGTTTTTCTTAATGAAAAAGTAGACATGATCAGTGGCACAACCAGGTGGGATAAGGTTTATAATACCAAACAATTTAAGACAAACAAACTTAGAAATTTTTTTGAAATTCATGGAATTAATCTTTTTTTTGTCGTGCCACTGAATATAAGTTAGGTGGTTAGGTGTAGGTAATAAATCGATTTTAGATATTAAAATCTGATTTTATCTTAGCGAACATCACACATTTAAAATAACCTTTACAATTTTGAAATCTGAAACTTAACCGAACCTAAACATTAAAAAACATACTTTCTCTCTGAAGATGTCATATTAACTTGTCTGATGTTATGTAGGTAAGTATAGAACGTATCATTCAAATCGGTTATTTTTTACTTCTATGATACACACCAAAAAGAAAGGTTGTTTTCCATCTATTTCAGGGTGCTTAATAATATAATTTGATAGGTTTATTGTACATTACATTTTATTATGGCTGTGTAGGTTGATCGTGATTAAATGTATGTATTTAAGTATTAATGTGTTAAAAGTATTTGGATACTAAATGGTATTTAAATAATTTTAAAGTATTTATTTTTAAAATAAATATTCGTTGAATATTTTTACTTTCGGAATATATATTATAAATTTATACGCCGGTATTGACGAAACTTTGAGCAACCAATTATGACGTAGGTACTCGTAGGATCAATGTTTAATAAACGAATAACTAATTCGCAAACTATACGAGCATAATAATACACACGGTACACGAAAAATGAAAAAAATATACAATCGAATATTATTATGCCACGTTTACATCAAGCTGACAAAACAGCAACTTTCTGTCTCGCAACAAATCGGCGACAAAATTGAGACATTTCCGCGACAAAAGTGATTCTGGCGACACAATGTTCGTGTTTCTGAAGACATTTTTGTGTCCGCTCAAAAGCCATAAATATCAAAGGGTTTCTGTATTTGGCAACATAAGTCTATTTGGTATAAACGGGTGTTGCGACATCCAACAAATAGTAATTGTTTATACAATTTTTTCCCAAAAATTTTGAATTTAAAAATATCATTTTGTGTATAAAATATAATAATAATAATAATAATATACTATAAGTTTTAAGTACCCACGAATTTTGAAAATTTTACCATGTATGGTAAATAGTCATATACGAATTTAGTAAAAATTTAAGGTATCTATGGTTATTATTTTTTGAGTTTTTTTTTTTGGTTTTTTCTGACGCTTTTGAAAATTATATTAAATTTTGACTTTTGAAGAAAAACTAATATTTTTATTATTTTCAATTTTGTTTTTAATATAATTTAGTTTAAAATATTTATAGAGACTTCAAATTTTGACAGAAAACTTATATTTACTTTTTCTAGGCGTTTTAAAATATTCAAATATTTGAGCCATTTTTGAACTATAACTATACATTTATACTTTGCGAGGTTTTTACGTAATTTTGTTGGTACTCTAGCTGTGAATAAAATTGTTAAACTAAACAGAAATGCTTGAAAATTTGATAGGAGGTTTATTTATAAATCGTACTTTGTACGCCATAAATAAACGTTCTACTTATAAGTACTCAAAGGGGATATCACAGCCACCCAACTCCATAAAAATGATTATTGTTTTTCAATACTGTGTACGGGCAAAGCGACAAATAAAATCGAGTACAAATACTCTGTTGTTTAGCCTTGAAAACGTAACAGAATTACTTTCATAATAAAGATTATAATCATTTAACGTTTTCTAACTTTACAGTTTCGTGTCCAGTAATTATACCATATACGAAGTAGAAGAGCCTTCGAAATTATTCTTGAGACCCGATTCTCTGATAGGTAACGTTGACGGGTTACTTAGGGGCTTAATGGAAACTCCCGGACGCGAATCGCAATCTTCTTATAATGATCTAGTACGACATACTTATAGTCTTTTATCTACAGTTATTTATTAATTTTCGATTTGGTATGCTAAATCTGTTTGTTTCTGTTTTAAGATAACCAACATCGTTATTCAACTACCATCAGATAGTAAAACAACTAACGTTACCGGATTCGATCTGCTTTCGTACGACATACAACGTGGCCGTGATGTCGGGCTGCCACCATACAATAAAATGAGAAAATTGTGTGGACTGTCGGAAGCCGAATCATTTGACGATTTATCGAATCATATACCGTCGGAAGTTAGTATAATTGCATAGTTGTACGCGGAATATTGGTATAAGAACGCTATACATCCACATATGTTAATTTTATCTAAGCTCCTCGTCGATTACGTCGACGTGGTTCGATTACTATGTTATTTAAACAATTAATTTGATTTCTGTGTAGAAAATCGATTTGTTGAAAACATTTTACTCCACGGTAGACGACGTTGATTATTACGTAGGGATTCTATTGGAAAACAAACATAATGGATCTATGGTCGGTCCGACTGGTAGTTGTGTAATCGCCGATAGTTTTTATCGGTTTAGAAACGGCGACCGTTTCTTTTACGACGTCCAAAATCAACCAGGCAGTTTTACAACAGGTTAGTAATTTTTTATTTCAATCCTTGGATTGGTTAATCAATTGACGTTTCTCTCCATCTTTTCTTATCGCTTATAGTTCTTTTAAACTCATCATATATATTTATTCCAATACTTTCAATCATTTGCTTCATGAACAACGTCCTTCCCTTAAGTATTAATCCTTAGATAACGTCCAATATGTGTATTTAACTTATTTCTTCATTTCAATTATCTCCCTTTATTTGTTTATTATTCCCCGAAACCACGCTTTAATTTTGGCGTTCTTAGTCATAAGAACTATCCACGTATCAGCTCCGTATATAGTGCAACGCTCTAAGCAGTCGTTTTGATAAGGTATAATTTATATCTGTAACCAACGATACACTATTGTTAATGAAAAACAAATCGGAGCAAAGTTCGGTTGTATATTTTTTAAAAGGCCACAATATTTACGATAATTGTCAAAATTTGATTTTAAAACTAAAATAAAAAAAAAAAAATATTAAAAAAAAACCTTCTACGTTGCATTCAATTCTTTTGTTACTAATTACGACTTATAATAAACCTTTTATCAAATTTTCAAACATTTCTGTTTAATCTAACAATTTTATCCATAGAGTACCTTCCAAATAAAAATTACGTATAAAACTTCTAAAATTAAAATGTAAAATATGTGTACAGATCAAAAATAACTTAAATATTTTAAAAATTTTACCACGTCTTGAAAAAAGAAATATAAGGTTTCTATCATTGAATTACATTTAAAAAAAAAAAAACTAAATTTAAAAGAAATATTTTCATACATATTTTCGTTTTTTCTACGTATTTTTCTGTTTTGCTCAACGATTTAAAAAACTATAAAGGAAATCAAAAAACGACTTTCTTACTCACGAACTAGATTAAAAATTTATCTAAAAGGTCACTTGTCGTTTTTCTATATAAGAGCAATATATATGGTAGAAAATATAAGTAGTAAATATTTTAAATAATGAAATTGTTGCGCCATAATTTAAAAAAAATCATTTTTTTTGGCTTTTCCAAATTATTATGAAAACTACTTTAAATATGAAAAATGAACTGCACTTGAGTGTGGCTAGATATTAAATTAAACAAAATCAATTTCTTGTCATTTTTTTAATTGGAGCAAAATTTCTGGTAGAAAACATCGTTTGAAAAAATTAAAATCAATGAAATCTGTAGCATCAAGGCGCATCGTAAATATTTGCGTTTTACCCATAATTTTTTTTCCAGTTTTCTCCGATTATTTTAAAAACCCCTTGAACAATCAAAAAATCATCTCCCTATGCATCAATAGTATAAATTTATCTTTTAGAAAAGATGTTACTCTTAATAGTTCGAAGCAAGATTTCTAGTAGGGAAGTTGCTCACAGACAAAAAAAACGATCTATACGCTCTGAATCGAAAAGAACTGTGCTAATGATTCGTATATATAATCGTAATACTTAATACATGTTATTTAATACAACATTTTACAAGACTTTAAATAAAAAATTACATTTTTTTATATTTTTTTTAAAATTTTACATTTGCTTACAATTTAAATATTCACAGTGAAAAATCCAACCATTGCCAATATATCTACAACTTCATTAACCATAACTAGCACACATCTGTGTGTATATTGAGGAGAGCTAATCCCTTTAATCTGTTTTCCTAAAGTATGGTTTAAAACTTTGAAATTATTGTTTATAAATAATATAAAATAAATTCAAATTAAAATTTGTTCTTTTTAAACATTTATATTGTCCAAGAAGTGGGTCCTGACCCAGTACCCACTCCCTTTGTGGGAGTGGGAGTACTACCCACTGGGTGAAATTATTAACCTTTTCAGTCTGATATTAGTTTGTCAAATATTAATCAAGTATTATAATTCTAATTTCAGACCAAATCAACGCGTTAAGGAACATAACGTTAAGTCATATAATTTGCGTTACGTCGCATTTAGAACACGTTCAAACGGATACTTTTAGCTTAGTCGATCATATGTAAGTACATAATTAGTTACAACTGTTTCGTTGTATGTTTTAATAATTATATATTCTTTTCTAAATTCCAATATTGTGTGTTTTCTAGACGATTGATGAAACTTAAACCTAGCTGTGATACTTACAAAATCGACTTAGCCGCATGGTGAACGATTCCAACAACATAAATTATAATTATTAAATCATACATATTTATTATTTAACATTTTAAGTGCTTATTTATATTTACGGTTTTGTATATTATTTTTACGATATTATAATACATAAGTTTGTGCTTCGACAGTATGTTTATAAAATACGTGACATAAGTATTTGATAAAAAAAATTGTTGTTCCATAAAATAAAAACTGAGTTATAATATTGCATTTTATAGAACGCATGAACCGTAGGTACACATTTTATTGTATTTTTTTTTTATGAAATGTACCATATTATAATATGTTTTATTAAACTAAATGTACCCGCATGGCTTTGTCCGTGCCATATTAAATGTATATAATTGTGATCTCCTACCCAGCTACCCTCCGCCCTTTCATCATATTATGTCATACATTGAAGCTTTCAATTTAATTATAATTTAATTAAAAGTTTATGTTATCATGTCTATTGTTTACAGTCTCTATCAATGACTAGAAAATCCGACTCTAGGAAAGGAGTTCAATAAAAATAAAATGATAAATATTGTATACCATTGTACATTATCGAATATTTATTATTTATAATTGGAGTTTATATCGTAATAATAACTATTACTGTTTTTATACAAACAAAAGCAGGACCTATTCAAATTACAATTTTATTGTTCACTTAGTGAAATATTAGCCATGAAGTAGTATGCAACGATAACCTTTTGTGATGCACGTAGGACGGGTCACTGTTGTAGTGTTATAGGTGAGTAATTGGGAAGGTAGAGCTAATTTAATGTATATTTGTACACAATGATTAACCATTGCTAACGAAAAATGATTCTGAGTGGAGTTCAGTTAAGAGGACGTTACACGTTATACCATTGATTATAGAATACACAGATAACCTATGCAATGTTAATATTTGACGACTATAAAAAGGATACCGCCGCTATGAAGCACTAGTGTAGTTTATGATGCGAGGAGGTCGTACCTCCGTCATAGTTGTTGTGGATGGGTGGGAGTTGTGATGCGGGTAGGTGGTACCCCCGTCATAGAATGATAAGCGGTGCGGGGGGAGGTTATTGCCCGTTATTGCCGTACTAATAATAGAATATTTGTTCAGATAAATTGGAATACAATTGTTTATTATCATTGTATTTCATATATTTTTCGTAATTCGTCGAGTCTCACAAACCATAGGCGACGATCGTTTTTTATTGCGATTTATTGCGATAATATTATTATAATTTGTATTTTATTACTTGTGAATAATTTTATTATATAAATATAATAACGATTAATTTGAAAAAAGTCTGGTAATAAATGTTAATATTTAAATTGTGGTAAGTCAAAGAAAATTCCAATGTCAACTCCAACTAAATCATATACACGTACAAAATCAGACATAGTAAAATTAGTTTTCCCGAGCCCCTCTTCAATGTTTTCTACTCCTAACAAAAATAAAATTACTAACATAATACAAATGCCTAGCTCAAATTTAAAAAGGAAATGTAATCAAAAAATTAAATTAAAAACATAATTTAACCAAAAATCAAAATAATTCATAATAAAATATCTCGCATTTCAAAATTGAAAAAAGAAGTAAAAGTTTTAATACACGTAATAATTTTAAAAACTCAATATATACACATAATTTCTCATCGATAAATTCCAAGGCAATTGTGACAATGCAACTAAAAGATAGACGTCGTTCATGGACATTAAATAAAAAAAATTTAGCTTTAAACTTATATTATAAATCACCAACAACATATAAATTTTTACATACACGAAAAATAAATTTACCTGGGCCATCAACTATTCGTCGTTGGATTGGTCAATCAAAATTCTTACCAGGTTTCAGTAAATTAATTTTTAGTCATCTTAAAAAAAAATTTGAGTCATCACAATATAAAGAAAAAGCGTGCACTGCTTGTGTTGATGAGATATATATAAAAGAATTTATAGAATATTCAAAAGAGTTTGATTTCCTTGAAGGTTTTGAAGATTTAGGCCATTATGGGTGGACCAATAAAAGTGCTAACTGTGTTCTAGTATTTATGGCTCGAGGTATTTATTCATCATGGAAATTTCCAATTGCATATTTTCTTGCCCATTCAGGAGTAAACAAAATCATTTTAAAAAATTTAATAATTAATGTGCTTCAAAATTTATTCGAGGTTGAATTCTGTCCAAAAATTATAGTATGCGATCAAAGCACAAACAATCAAAACACATTAAAATCGTTAAATGTTTCAGAAAATAGCCCATTTTTTTTTATCAACAATAATAAAATATTTTCTTTGGTTGATGTTCCACATTTGCTTGAAAGTATTGGAAATAATTTAATTGAAGCCTGTTTCATAAAAGGTGATAATTTAAATTAATTTAATAATATAAAAAAAAACATATGATATAGACAAACAAAATAATAAAAGTAGGTCTCTCATTAAAATAACAGATGCACACATTTATCCAAATTCTTTTCAAAAATGCGTGTTAAATTAGCTGCACAATTATTAAGCAATTCCATGTAAGCAACGATTCGAACTTGTATACAAACAGGACAACTTCAAAGTAAAAGTTCTTCGAATACTGCAAATTTTATCGAGTTTATTAATCATTTATATGATTGTCCTAATAGTAGGTCTTTATATAACTGTAATCCATATCTCTGTGCATTAACTGATTTAGGTACTGTACAAACATTTTTAATAGAAGCTTCACAATACTTCACAAATTTACAAAAATTAAAGAAAGGAAAATTAACATAACCACCCCGTTTTAAAGGTTTTACCATTAGTGACGTTTAATGGTGTATTGAAATTTTTTGAAGAAAAATCTAATAATGTTGTATTTTTAATTATTAATCGTTTAAATTAGGATATATTAGAAAATCTCTTTAGTATTTTTCGACAAAATGATGGTTATAACAAAAATCCAACAGCAAGAACGATAAAGACTTCGATAAGAAGTAATTTTATTCTTTCTTTATGCACATCTAAAGGGACAAATTGTGAGGTAACCCAAGAAGATGATAATCCGGTAATAATTGACCCAGAAAGTTCCAAAATTAATATAAATTCTAATAATTTAACATTATCTTCTGATTCTGACACTGGATGTTTTTCTAATTTACATTTCTCTTCTTTATCATCTGATGAGGACTCTATTAACAATGAAACTTTAAATAATGATGTTACTTTGGAGGACTGTTCTGTCACATACTTTGCAGGATATTTGGGCTATAAATGTATGGACAAATTTAATTGTAACTATTGTGAAAATGAATTATTTATAGACAAAAACTAAAACGATAAAAAACAATTACTTCTTCTTGATAAAAATTATATTTCAATTGAAAATGACAGAGGACTTAAAGTACCATCAAACAAGTTAAATAATATAATAAATAAAGTTTTAAATATTTTGAAAACAATTATAATTACTATTTGCATAAGAAAAAAAAATTAAATTTCAATTAATTAAGTGTGTAAATAATAATACAATTATAAAATGGCTAGATGAATACATGGCAAACTGTGTAGAGCATAAAATGTATATAATTGAACATCTTTTAATATGCAAAATATTTAATAAAACAAAAATGTATTCAACGACATCAAAACTAGAAAATCTTTCAAAATTAAAAATATTAAACCACATTTAGAAATAATAATTTTTATGTTTTCATTTCTTCATTTGTTCTGACATTGTGACTATAAAATTGCGAAGAAATAAATAATAGGCAATTTCGAAAAAAAAATCCTGATAATATAAATAACTTCATGCTACGCAGCCGTGACATCACGATCGATCACTGACAATAATAACAAAAATGTAATTTCAAGTAAAATTATTTATTCATTGATACGTACAACGCCATCTCTTGGGAAATAGCGTAAACATAATTTTAGTCACTAGATATTCCTATGCCATGGGCTATCTATGTTTCTATAATCAATGGTTATACGTATATACTGTCTCAGTTCAACTACCGGGTAACATTCAAATACAATGATTACGCAGAATAAGTAAAACTAGCTTAATTTTGATTCTAGAGTAAAAGTACCTATTCAGAAATTTGATGTTGATTCTACACTCGGTGATGTTAATTCAATACACCAATGTGTGTTGATTTTGAGCTGGGTAGAGCTTGGTGTTAATTTCACATTGACCTATAGTTGAAAAGATTACTGATTGTTGCTATAGTAAGACGACGCACAGTGATTAGTAGTTCGTTTGACATCGGGTGATTTTAAAATGAGCGCAGTTTATATCCTATCTAAATCGTAACACAATAATAACTGATGGTGGTGTTAAACTATTAAATGGAATGTTGAAAAAAAAAGCACGATGTTCCGCAAATTGTCTAATCACTCACGGTAGGTATCGAACTCGCTACCTACGGTTTCCTAAGTAGTTAATCGACTACCACCTACTTTGTTATTATATGTTTATTGTTTAAATGGGTATTTAACTGTTGCGTAATATCATTGATTTTATTATATCTAATATATAAAATATAATAATTGTTTGCTTGTCTGTTTGTTTATTATTTATTATGAAATGTATAGAGAACAATATTTTGTAAGGAATGTCAAAGGATTTTTGTATTATTTAAAAAAAAACAGCTCGTTATAAAAGTTATAAAAACCTTTTCTTTTTTTGTTTTATAAAAAATTGTAACTTTTTAATAGTTCATAGTACAAAAAACTCCAATGACATTCCCTCCAAAATATTGTTCTCTGTAAATATAAAAATCAGTAATTTTACACTATAATCATAATTAAGCTGATTTTACTTATTCTGCGTAAGCATTGTGAAGGGTGAAAAAAAAATAACATAAATATAAAATTGTTGAAGTTGCTTGTTTCTTAAATATTCTAGAAAACAAATTACGGAAAAAGATAATACTTTCAGAGACAATGAGTGTACCCACTTAAATGGATCACCTAGTACTTGTGTAATATAAATTACCTATTCAAAACGCCTTAGAATATGTAAAATGGAAACTGACAAATTTACGGCGTTACGATTTCATTATTTTAAATTTGTACGCTTTTCGTTTTCTATTAGAAATATTACTTTAATAGAAAAACAATAAATCTTTTTAAAAGAAATTCAATTCCAATCAAAAACATATAATACAAATTATTAGCTTAACGATGATTTTATAACGAATGAAAAATAATATAATGTGAATATGAGTACAAAATACTGCTGGGAGGTGGGTTAATTATTTAACCAAAAAACAACTTCGTGGACAAGAACAGATAATCTATAACTATAAGAATTTTAGCATTTTAGCATTTCAAATACATATTTTATAGATTAATATTTTTTAAATAAATAATAATTATATAAACCCATAAGCATTTTGTATGAGAATGCTTAGTCCGAAGCATTATGATATTTAATTTAATTTATAGCTAACTGGTTTAGAATTTAAAAATCATAAATAACCAGTAAAACGATATTTTTGATCCTTTTAGATTCTGAGTACAGAAAGGAATGTATTAGTTTTAGTATGTGAGCAGGTTGTGATAGTAATAAAAGATAGTTTAGTACAATTTGATAGTTTTTTAGATTCTGGACGAAGCGTGGAATGTATTGGTTTTACAATGACATTTATTTTTTTTTTTTTTTTTTATAATGTACATAAATAAATTTTGCATCATTTTTTTATTTTCTAAGTAGTTTCCATAATATTTGCGAAAACCGGAAAAAACGTAGAAAAAACGGGAAAATTTACAAAAATAATACTTTTATTATTTTCAATTTTGTATTTTTTTTTTGTGAATTTCGCCCCACCATGGAATTGACCTGAAGACACCTCTGTATTCAATCACAATACTTGTTGGGTACACCTGGTTTAGACAAAATTGATGGCATACAATGGTTTAAAATTTTAAACATCTGCGGTCAAATGGTCAAACGTTTAACTATGAAATGTATATATTAAGGGTGCTTGTAGTTTAGTGGCGTATCCAAGGGGGTGTTTGGGGGTTATGACACCTTCCATAAGTTGTGTCATATCGTATTACTACAAGAATAAAATCCTAAAGATGTAAAGATATTTTTATTTTTTTTCTTTATTTTAATTCATCAAAATTATCAGCCAGGTTTGATTAAGCCGATTATTACATATATTAAAAAGACGAAACGACAACTATCTTCTAACCTCAAAATAATTAAACATCATTCATTATAACATCACCTTATTGACAGCTGAATGAGTTTAGAAGGCTTTTCTTAAAATATGATACTTAATAATTAAATAATTAATAACTTAATTTTTGATGGAAATTAGATCTATTTAATTTTAAATAACTGATTAACAATATTATCATTATTAAAAGGTATAGGAATGTACTTAATCATTATTATTATTACTAAAAAGAGTTGATTGCAAACCAACACCTCCAATTTTGTTTAAATTTTTATCGAACGGTAGTAGGTACTTTCTTAATAAACACTCAGATGGAAATATTATAGACTGATTATCGTTGTTTTTTTTTTTTATTAATACTAAAAATAGTGAGGCAAATATCTTCTTGACATCAAATATAGTTGTTTTGTATTTTTAAAAATTAAAGTTATAAAATGTTAAGTGAAATATTTATAATAATTAACACCTCCATTTAAAAAAAAATTCTAGTTATGCAAATGGTTTGCGCTATTGAATTTTGGTTTTTTTTTTTCATTTTTGGATTCCCTTGGTTACTCAAAGGTAAAAACACGATTTAGTTATCATAAACTAGTTAGACGAGCTCCACTCAGAATTGTTTTTTTTTTTACATTGATTTATATCGTTGCTTTCATTTGGTATACTAATATAAACTAAATGACTCTATATCATAAATTGTCAACTTCCTACACACAACAGTGGCCTACGCAAGGTGTAAATCGTGTCCTGCTATACCTATACATCATATATACACTTCCAATATGTAACGTGCAACACTAACACTGCGATTCGTTCAAATTTAAATACTTGTAATGACGTGTTCTTACTCTTGTATATTTAGTATATTACTGTACAGCAATACAATTTATTAGACTTGTGTACTTTTCTATTTGGTTCAACTCGGAGAATCGCAAGACAACGAAGGACGTATTATTAACGTGTTACAATATATATAAATAAATATATATATATACATTAGAGTGGCCCTTATTTTTGAACTCAGGAGTTTTTGATTTCTCACCCCTTCATTTTGTTCATTACTGTAAAAATGTAACTTTTGTTAAATTTCTAAGTCAGCGTTAAAAAAAATGTGTGGTCATTTATTGTACTTAACACCAGAAGCGACTTCATTAGCATTTTTTGATTATCATTTTATCATTTTAATCAATTTGATTATCAAATTATCATCACAAACCAAAATAAAAATGGTTAAATCAATGCAGTCTCGTGATATTGAATCAGAATCCAACAAAAGAATAATTTAAAACCAAATGAAATATACGATTTTGCTAATAAAGATATAAATGATTTCATATCAATCCCACCTAGTAATTTGTTTAATAGATTTTGTATACCGATGGACTTTTTAGATTTAGACCCCAAATTATGGAACGAAAATGAACAGTACCAAAAAGGTAAATAATCTATCCATTGTAAATGACATTGCGGAAAGAGGAGTTAAACTGATTGAAGATTATAACAAATTATTAACCAAAAACGAAGATCAGAAGTAATATTTACTGCAAGTAGTGAGCGAGTATCGTTAGCAATTTCCAGATTGTACAAAAAGCACCTTATCCAAGAACTATTAAATAATCATAAAAAAAATCAATTTTGTACAATAAATGAAATATTTTATATTTTATCATTTTTCTTGGAAAATAATAGATTTATAAGAAATTGTATAATTATGTTTATTATAAAAAATATAAATATCTATAATTTAAGCTATATAAATTTTATAAAAAAGTGCAACACTTTTTTGATAAAACTCAAAGAACGATAAAAATCCCTATTTTTCAATTATTTAGCCCTCTTGGGGCACGTGAAGGGGTTGAGTAATCATGACCAAACTTAACCTAAATTACTTTGTTATATTAATGAACAAAATTAAGGGGTAAAAAATTAAAAATATAAATTTTTGTTTCTTCATCTTAGACTAAGGGCCACCCTAATATATATAGATATATATATATATATATGCATATATAACTTACGTTTGTATTGCATTTAGGCCCGCAGCTTTCATTTTACGTATTCGATCTCTCCAATAAGCCCGGGGTATGCGGAAATAATGCAGTTCCCCGGATACGTACCGGAACACTTGACCGTCTTTGATGAATTCATTTTTTTCGTAGTCCACGTAAAACCGTCTAGTTGCAAACTATATAGATACAAAATAAACAGATTTTTTTTAAATTTATTTAATTATATCGGAATATTAAACATATAATGATTGGTACATATAGTTGACCGGACGGTGTACAAAACTTACTGCATTTTCGAAACAAAGTAGCGACGATATTACCAAAACTATGTTAAAATATACGGAAGTTGTCAACATTGTGTTACCTATATTTTAATCGTCTGTGCGCATCGTCCGAGTTAAAATTTAATGAAATTTGCGTTGAAATGATAAGTAAAACGTTAAGACCGATCAGGAAATATAGATATATACTGATTATTTACAAAACCTATGTATATTTTATAAGTTCACAGGAAGTGGAGGGAATTTAATGGATTCAATCGGTATATGAATAATATTATAACATAAACCTTTTACTGATTAAACCGTACGGAAGGCTATACACAATTATTACACGAGAAGTTGATAACCGGTGGCGTCGGAGTTCATGTCGAGGTCGGACAGACAATTTTTTTTTTTTTGTAAAACGTGACGGTTCGTCCAGGTATCTGCACGCATTTCATTTAATAAAATAATAATTATATAAATCCATGTGCTTTTACAAAAAAATTATTTCGGGGGAAGGGAGGGGGGGATTTAAGGTTGTACACTTTAATACTCTTAGAATAAAGAAGTTTACTTACTTTCAATTGTATGGTCATTTATTTTTCATTAAAAATGTCAATATTTTACAACATTCATTTTTAACGTTTTAGGTAACTATCGCTAAATTTTACATTTAATATGTATTTTTAGTGAATACAAAATAACAACGTAATTCATATTATTGTGATGATAATGCGGACTACGCAATATCACCGTATCAGTTATAATTTTCTAAAAGTAGGAAAACCATAAAGAACAAGAAATGACAATAATAACAATATATACCTACTATCTAGTAATAAAATAAAAATAAAACAAAAATTGTATTCATCTTCCTCATTGACAGAAACCAATTTTGAGACTTTATTCAAAATCTACTGTCATCATAATTTTCATGAAATTTGGAGGGTGAGGGGGGGGGGTGGAAATTCTAAAATCCACTTGTACACGTGTCTGTATAAATGCATATTTCTATGCATGAATACATTCCATTATAAATATATTAAATATATTATGCTATAATGGCGTATAGGAAAAATGACGATAGAGTTTAACTACAACAAATTGTTGGTTTATTTAACATATTTGAACTTGAAATGATGAATACAAAAAAAAAAGTTACATTAAGCTAACGGTTTATTCTTAAAGCAATAAAGACAACTTGATGATCAACCTTCAATCAAATTTTCGAGCATTTTTACTAAGCAAAAGAAAAATGTATTCAAATTGTTAATTGGAAAATAGTAGGCAAATTGTATGATTTATTTTTACGATTATCATCAAAATTTAAACTTTAAACGCTTAAAAAGTTACTTTATAATTGCTCAATCTGTTTCTGCAACAACAACAAAAATAGAGCTAATATTGCTGATAGATACGCCACTATTGTAGATGAAAGTTGAGAAGGTGGAATACGAAATTAACGAAATTACAATAAAAAATTTAATTATCAAATAATTTTGTTTTCGGTTTTTCCCAATTTTATTAGTAAGAAATCCTTAAAAAAAAAAAAAGAAAAACATTAAATGACCTTCCCAATGCACTAACTAAATTTAAAATGCATCAAAATACATTCTCTTGTCATTTTTCGATTAGAAGAAGTTTTCTGGTCAAAAAATAGCTCACTGATACAAAAAAAAACACACATATCATATAGTAAAACCAATAGATTCGTCACTACACTCCGAATCTAAAACAAGATCGACATTAACTGGCGACGGTGTATAAATATATTCTCGTTTTTAGACGGTTTTATTATTCAGTTTATTATTAAGAAAATACGGGAAATTTTTATAAATTACCCCCCTAGTGTACCACCTACGTATATAAACTTCTGACAACAAAAAGTTAAAAGTGTACTTAGGTGTCGTAATGTCTTATGGACTTTACATAAGTAGTCGAACAAAATGGTTCAATAATCAAATGGCATTATATTATGTTTTCCCTTTTGTTGTCGGTACTTTGACCTGAATTTTTTTTTTTTTTGTAATCGAAACCGGTCATTTCCACAGACACAAGATCTATTAAAATACTCCAGACTAGTTTTTTTTTTCATATTTACTTATTTTTATATTAATAACTATTTTATCGTTATCGTTTAAATGCCAGGATTTACCATAATGTCAATAACATTGGCCAAAACCACTAAATGTAGTATTACGCAAGATATTTAATAATACCTATATAGTAAGTTATCTTGTGAACTTTACAATAATAGGTATACCTTTACAACATTTACGTGGAATCGTATCTAAAAATAGTCAATATGATTATCAAAATTTTTAACTACAATACTCCGGTTCAAAAAATAACCTAATCGTATTATATAAAACGGTAATACACAACATCGTATTATCGTACATATGTACCTACATTATAATTCGAGCACGTCTTATTTAAACTTGATTTCTAGTAAAAGTTTTCACAGTGTCAACATAATTACATTGTGTTTGCGATAACCATTATTATTGTTACCGTAATAATGATAACATAGGAGGAAATTCTAAATGTACAGCACTTTAATTAAAAACGATTTATGCTAATCTTTTATCGTTTAATTTTTAAGTTACGGACATAGGTACCTGAATATGTGTATAGATATACTTACATATTTTAATTAAGTGTATTATCTGTATACCGCTATATCGGCAAAGTATTATCAATAATATTCAAATTATAGACCATGATGTTATAACGTTATATTATTGTAATATACAGCATTATAACATAATAGAGTAATAATCGATGGCTTTAGACAAAATCGAAATTTCAATTATAAGCACTAAAAAGATCTTCTTAGAACAAATTTTGCAGCTTGACCGAACACCGATATTATCGCGTATCCACAGTTCCATTCCTATGGAACTATGCACATTTTGATTAAATCTGACTATAGCAGACTATACACAGAGAGCGGAATATATGTGTGAATATATATCTCTGTGTATATCCGTAACGTGTTTCGCCAAAATCGCCCACTTGAAACATTTCTCGTCATTATTTTGCGGGTTGATTATAGCTCGTTTATTCATAATATCGGTAGGTAGCGGAATATATGAAGAGCCTCCCATAGGTGTATATTTATAAACACCTAATAAAACGCCATCGATACTCTGTAACGAAAAGCCACTACCCCGTCCTTGATATATATCTTCTTCTTTTAATAATTTTGCAAACTTTTCTTCTATAACGTCTTCTATTTCACTATCAAAGAAAATTTCCCTGGCTGAGGTCTTGAACGCTCTATTCTCGGTGGAATTTTCAACATGCGGTTTATAATAGGTAGCTTCCAGCTTCAAATTTAATTTAATCGGATTGTTTTCTGATAATGACTTGAG